GCAAACTGCTGACGCCTGGGGGCAGTTTGCTTCTCAGTAAAACACAGGTGACACCCGCCCTGTGATGAGCTGTCCAGCATGCCCGCAGAACGTCAGTCCCAGGGGGACAGCCAGTGGGCCTGGCTGGCGCCCCCCAGCCCTGGTGAGCGGGGAGGGCTTTGCCTCGGTAAGTCACTAGGAGATGCGGGCTGTGGGGGGCTTCCGGGGGCCACGTCGGGCAGGGCGGTGGATAGAAAGATGGGTTTGCCTTGTTGACGGTGAACTGTGTCTGTCCTGGGGTTGCAGACCTCGGGGAGCTGCGGGAGCCTGATCTGAGCCCCCAGCCCCCCAGGCCAGCGCCGGAGGGACCCTCAGCTGTTGCCCAGATGCATCCCTCCCCTCACCAGAGCCCCCTGTGCCATGACACATACCCCACAAGACTCATTGACACTTTGACCTGTCTGCTCCCAAATGGGCCACGAGAACACACTTAATTTTTTAAATAAAGATTTGCAGGCCCGCTCCCCGCAAGTGAGCCTGGGGACGCCCCAGGCCGCCTGAAGAACTGGCCCAGAGCAGTGACGCTGGGCAGGGGTCAACAACCAGCTCTGGGGGGAAGAATGAACCCCCTCCGCACCCCACAAATACAGTATAAATGAACTTGCACGAGGGATGCGTAGCCCACGATGTACAGATAATAAGTGGCTTGCTCCCACGGCCCCCCCCGCAGCTGCAGCGGGGCTCGGTTTCCTGCCAGCTCCCCCTGCCAGGGCTCCCGACTCGGCACCAAGAGCGGTCGGGCCGGGGCAGGTCCGGGCCACTGCGCAGTCAGCGAGCGGCCCTCACCTCCGGGCACCGCAGGGCAGCCCTGGCTTCGGTTCGGCCGCCGTTTTTAGGTCCAGACAAAAGCGAAATGACCAGAGTGTGTGTCACAGTGGCCTTGTTCGCGGAAGGGGAGAGTGACTTCTTGGCCAAATCGGCCGCTCGCTGCTTGGCTGTGCAGAGCCGCTTTCCTCGGTTTCCCTGCGAGTCGCTGTGCAGTGGCTGCAGTCCCGAAACGTTTCAGTTTAATTTAGAGTCACGTTTGCTCCGCCACTTGCAGATACTTGACGGAACGAGGAGTCAAGTTTGCCCTGGCCCGGGGTGTCAGTGCTCCCGCCACGGCGCGGGCAGGCCGGCAGCGCCACGTCCCGGGACCCCCGCGGGAGACGGGAGCTGCGGGTCCTGGGGGCGCGGGCGCGGGCGCGGCCGGGTGGACGGAGCGAGGTAGTGGCCGAGGCTCGGTTACCGGTCACCTTTGTATTTGAGTGAGGCCGTTCATTTTACCCATGACCCTGTGTAACGACAAAAGTCCGAAACTCGGGCTGCGGGTTCTGGAGGGTGAAGGCGAGCTGGCTGCGCAGGCCTGGCCTGGGGGGCCCCCCACCCTGCCCCCGCTGGGAGCCAGGCGCCCCGTGTCCTCTGAAGCCCTGCGGCATCGGGGGTCGGACAGAGGTTGGGGCCCCTGGAAGTCAGGAGCACCCACGGCTTCCTCGGCACCCCCGTTCCTGACAGGCGAGGAGCTCCAGCCAGTCTGGAGGCAAAGAGGGAGTTTGGGGGTCGTGGGATGGTCGCCCTGTTGGCCCACCCTGACGGGTGAGGGCACCCACGTTCCTTCTGGTTTCCTCTTGTGATGAGGCCGGGGCTGGAGGGCCCGTCCCAGGGCCGGGACACCCCCTGCTATTTCTCCGCTGTGTGTCCTGGGGCCGCGTCTCCACCTGAGCCTCTCAGCCTCACTTTCAGCAAAGTGGGGGCGACCTGGCCGATGGCTGTGAGGACCAGGTGTGTCCGGGGTGGAGGGCGGGAGGTTCACGGCCGTGCCCTCCACGGACCCGGGGCTGGAGCAGCGTGTCTGTGCCCCAGCTCTTCCCGAGAGCAAACTCGTTGTGGAGCTGGACACGGTCTCGTCTACAGACTCCAGGAGTGGGGGCGCACCAGGGGCTGGAGGGGCTGCAGGGGAACAGAGTCGAAGCTGTTTAGCAGGCCTTCCAGAATGTTCTGCGATCAGCCCCAGACGGAGCTGCTTCACTCTTATGTTTCCTTCTCTGTCTGTTTGGGTTTGGTCACCACGAGTGATGTGCCCCAGACACTGACTGTGGGGACCAGACTGCGTGCGGCTGTGGGAGCTGGGGAGGGAGCCCAGGGAGGCCTGCGCCTCTGGCCTGCTATAAAGGAGAGTGGATGTGAACGGGGGCTGGGGTGGGCAGGGGGTGGACGCAGAGTGGCACTGAATGTGTCACCTGCACTTCCCAGCTCAGTGACATGGTGACTTGTCAGAGGAGCTGCTGCACACCTACCTGGTCCAGGTCTCAGAAATGGAGGAGCTGCTGGATGGTCTGTGCCCGAGCCCGCGGTGTGCACAGCCAGCCAGGACGCCGTGCCAGCCACAGCAGCACCCAGCTGCTGACTGACCCTCAGCAGGTCTTGGCTGATGTTTCTGTCTGCCGTCCAGATGTCACTCAAACTTCCCTTGTGAACGACCCAAATTTAGAATCTTACAGGAAAGTGAAACTGGAAAACCAGGTTCCAGCTTAGCTAAGTGGACATGGTGGAGAGCCAGCACTCGATGCTTCCGGAGGACCAAGCGCTATTTGATCCTCTCGTCATATTTTTTCAGGTTCCTATTCCTCGGCCTGGAATATGCTTCCCCTGCTGTGGGACCTGGAAAACTCCTACGCTGCCTTCAAAACCCCCCAGAGACATCCCTTCCTCTGAGAAGAGTTCCCTAACACTCTAGGACTAGTTCTGGACTTTGCACATCACGACCGCCTCTGTTGTACATGTGAGATGCTTCAAGGGCACAGTCTTTCCTCTTAAGGGGGACGAGCTGTGCCTGTGTGACAGCTGGAGAAGTAGTTGCCCAGGTTGGTTAATTAACTTGCCCAGGATGGCACAGAGAGACTATAACCAATATAATACCTGGTTATACTTTGAATCCCTGTCTGTGACTTTTCTAATTATGAGCTGCCCTGACTAGAAAGCTGAGAAAAATTTGGCCCTTGCTCATCAGAGACTATGAATTGGAGGAGAAAGAGAGCTGCGATGTGGTCAGGCAGCTGGTTAAGATTACCCACAGGAGCAGATCGGGCAGTGGGCTCCGGGCGAGGAGCTCCAGGCGGCAGCAAGGCTGTGCGTCCCACCGGGCGCAGGGCTGCCCTCAGCCCTCCAGCCTAGCAGAAGGCACGGGGAGCCAGCAGCTGGCTGTGCTCTTCGGCCCTCGCCAAGACCCTGCAGGTGGCCCAAGGCCAAGGTCACAGCACTCTGCTCCCCAGTGTCTCCAGGCAATCCAGGCCTGGCCAGGGGGGGGGAGACGAGGCGCCCCGTCCCTCCCCCAGCAGCTCCCAGGGAGTGACGACTCACTGTGTGGCTTCCAGCAAGTCCCACTCCTGGTCTGGAGAAGGGCCTGGGAAGTGGCTGAGATTCCTCACTCGCTCACCCATGTGGTAGCGCAGGTGGTCGCGGGGATTAGTTCGCATGTGATGCCACCAGATGGCGCCAGATGCCAGCCCCTGCCAAGTTGGTTCCTTATTGAAAAGGGGTGGTTTCGGGAATGAGCGTGAGCTGGGCGTGTGTGTGTGTGTGTGTGTGTGTGTGTGTGTGTGTGTGTGTGTGTGTGTGTGTGTGTGTGTGTGTGTGTTTGCAGGGAGCGCCAGAGTGCTAACAACACCCTACATCTGCCGGCGTCACCCTACCTGGCGGGGTTCATCTCCAGCTCGGCGCTAGCCACACTGGCCTCCTACCCTGCCTCCAGCGCTCCCTGCAAGGTCTGGCCTCAGGGCCTTTGTGTGTGCTGTCCCTTCAGCTTGGGACGCTCACCCCTTACACATCCGCCGGGACCTCCCACATTCCCTCGCAGTGAGGCCTTTCCTAGCCATCCCATATAAAAAAACTACCTCCAAACCCATCCCATGCTTTATTTTTAATAGAAACACTGTGGTAAAATATGCATAACAAAATTTTACTGCTTTAACCACCTTTCAGTTTAAAGTCCTGTGGCATTAAGTACATTCACACTGTTGTACAACCCTGTCCACCATCCATCCCCAGGGCTTTTTCCATCTTCCCAAACTGAAATCATGGATCCACTGAATGATGGATCCCTCTTCTCCCCTCGCCCGGCCCTGGCAGCCAGCGTTCTTTTTTCTCTCTCTGTGAATCTGACTGCTCTAGCTTTCTCATTAAAGTTATGTAGTATATGTCCTTTCGGGACTGGTTTATGTCACTTAGCATAACGTCTTCAAGCTCCATCCATGTTGTAGCCTGTGACAATTTGCTTTCTTTTCAAGGCTGTATAATATTCCCCCCCTCTTTCTCTTTCTCTCTCTCTCCTATTTTGATTATTCATTCGTCTGTTGGTAGATGCTTGGGTTGCTCCCAATCCTGTGAGGAGGAAAGCTGGTATGAATGTGGGTGCTCTTTTCAAACATACTTTACTTCTCTGACAGCTCTGATCACCATCCAGCTACCCACCCTCTTGCCCCCAGCTAGACAGACAAATGGTTGCCGCTTGGTAGACAAGGTAACCCAAGGATTATGGTTGTGGTGCCTTAAAGGACACGGGCCACTTATAGTCGCTCGCCTGGCCATTTTATTCTAACATTCCTTTTTAAATGTCTGTAGACACTTGGTACCTCAAAATGCTCTTTGGAGCGGCTTTATTATTATTCTCACTTTGTCATAATGAGTTAATAAATCTTTGCTATGTGTTCATTCTGTATTTGTAGGGGAGTCGTATTTTTAACTTTTAAAAATTTATGCATTGACATTCCAGAAGGGTTTTTTTGTTGTTGTTGTTGTTTTTTACCAGGAAGTAAAATATGCATTTGTGGGATGAAATAAAATACATCAATTTATAATGCTCTGCCAGCCAAGCTGGAGCTTCAGGGGTCCTGGGGCCACCTGAACTGAGCAGAGACACTGCCAGCATCTCTGGGGAACCTCCTGAGCTGCGGCTGCTGCTCGTGCAGTCCGGGGGTGCATGCTTTTTTTTTTCCTAAAGCAAATAACTTTATTTCTATCATTCCTTTTTCAAGAACCAAGGAAATATAGAAAATATAAAACAACACAAACAGCTGCAATTTAATTTGGGGGTCGGGGGAGGCGGGTAAAGAACGAATGGCACAGCCCTTTAAAGCAACTTCCAGGACAGCCTGAGCCGCATCAGGTGTGTGTGGGGGGCCCTGAGAAGACAGGCTCCTATGTCCCAGCTTGGGCCCCAATACATCAGAATCCTCAGAGGGTGGGACCCTGGAATCTGCCTTTTTAAAACAAGTTTTCCCACTCACGTTCACTTAGCAAGGTCTCGCCCTAAAGCCCAAGGGAACTTTGGTAACATTTCCTCTCTTCCAAAATCCAGGCTGAAACCCAACGAATCCTGAACTAAAACTCAAGAACAGCACACCAGATGCCACCTGTTGTTTTTCAGGGTCTCAAACTCTGGAGGAAATACATCCCGCCTGCCACATCTTTTCCTCTCTAGGGCACCTGTCTGCATTTGGGACTGTGGCTCCACTAGTGTTTCATCAGGCCCAGCCTTATTCTCCACCTGGAGTCCTGCTTTTCTCTGTATGACAACGGGCAAGGAGTAACTCCAAGAAGGTGGCAATAGGATCCTACGCAACGATGTGTGCTGGTTCCTGGCAGGTGTCTTCTGCAGGGCCCCAGAGGGCTGGTGATGCCGTGGCAGCACCAGGACAGAGGGATGCATCAGTGGGGGCATTCAGGTGATGGCTGGCAAACAGCCCTCCACAGTGCTGCAACAGAGACAGCCAGTCCCTACACCCTTTGCTGAGCAGCTGTTGGTGCTTGGAAGTCAAACATCTGTACAAACTCAGTGCTCGCAGAAAATGATTTGTACTGGTCCAATGGCTTCACTTTTCCCGTCTGGAGTTGCCTTCTTGGGGGAAGGGGACAGGGCACACATGTGGGCAGGCTGCAGGTCAGCATCTCCAGGGCTGCCAAGTCTTAGGTTCACTTGGGGCCGAGGCATTCCACAATCCCATTCCCCTTCATGCCATCAAAAAAGAAGTTGTTGTTGTGAGGAGGGTCCCTTTGAGACAGGGCCTTAAAAGGCGACAGGGGCCAGTACTCCCGTGCCTTGCGTGAGCCATGCTCATCCCGAAAGGCTTTGGAGCCTTAGCTGACCCTCACACAGTCCCCGCGAGACGGATGGCAAGCTCGGAGGGGCTCAGTAGGCAGGAGCTCGCCGTGTAAGGGGGAGTTAGAGGACTAGAATGGAGCTGTGTGTGTGGCAGGGTGGGTGCGTGGATTTCTCTAATTCTGCAATTGCAGGGGCGCTCAAGCAGAGAGGGGATGGCCTGGGGTGCCACCTGAGGGGGCACACACCACCCACGGCACACCTCCAGGGGGTTGCTGAGAGGTGCACGCCCGCCCGCCCGCAGCTCCCACCTGGTGCTGGTGACACCAGGGGATCGCTGGGACCTTCCTCCTCGTGTGCTGCAATATCAGCGGTCACAGGGGACCCAGCCGGTGGGGGTCACGGGACGCACCCCTTCAGAAGATGCCTGGGCTCCAGGCAGCAAGCAGGCCCTAGAGAAGGGCCAGGAGGTGGCTTGCGCATGGTTGGAGGTGGGGGGGACAGGTGAGGGACACAATCTTTTCCCTACCCACGGTCCCTCCAGTCCCTTCCCTGAAACGACAGGACACCTGGCCGGGGCCAAGAGGTGATGTTTTTGTTTATTGTGCAGCAACTCTTACAGACATTAGCGTTCAATTAAAGGAAGAAAACAGACCGAATACATCACAACCCCCAAAACAGTACAGCGGGGGGAGGGGGGGACGGGCCGGGGACTCGCAGAGGAGCTACATTCAGTGGGTGTGTGGCGCCAACATTCCAGGCTCACGTGTATATATATTTTATTTATATAATTTATATTTATATAGAGAGATCATTGAGTTTTGTGTATACAAAGAACGATATTGTTACAAATACAATACTCTACTTGTCCCAAGCTTTACAATAAGCTCTATTTCACCCTCTTTACAGAACAATAGTACAAGTTCATACTCTAGGGGCTGTGCTGAATATGTACAAGAAATTTCCTTCCCACGTGGTCCTCACGCACTGCCTTGATGGAGGGGGTCGGGGGGGGGGTGCCAGGAGTCAGGTCGTGTGCTCCAGTTGGCCCGAACCAGGGAAGGAGCAAACGGACATGAAACTCAAAACCAGCAAGCGGCCTTGGACGTGGGAGAGTAAACATGTCTAAAAGGAGGTGGCCCTTGGTTGTAAACATTGGTAACAGCCACACCACTGGGCCGCGGGACCCGAGAAGGGCTCGTGGGTGGGTTTCCTCAGGGTGCGGATGGTGGGGGGTGTTGAGTGCGAACGGGGGGCGGGGGCCTTGGGGGCGGCAGGGGCGATGGGGGAGGTAGTAGGTTACTCTGGGACTCTCCGAGGCCGGTGTTGGTGGGCAATGTCCAGACGGCAGGCCTGCGCGCAGAGGCTCGGAGGCCGGGGTCCCGTGGGGGGCGGGGGGGCGGGTGCTCCAAGCCCCGTGGGGACAGCTCAGGGGAGGGAGCGGACTCCAGGTCTTGGTCTCTGGGGGGCGGGCCTCCTCCTCTCGTGAACCCAAGGCTGATGGTGGCTCCCTGAAATGCTCCCAGGTGAGAAGGCAGAGACAGGATGCGCTCTGGAGCATCCCGGCTGGACCAGGACGGGTAGGCGCACCTGAGAATCTGTCCCCAAAGCTGAGTCACCAGCATGTCCCAGCCAAGCAGCAAGAGTGGCTTTTTGCCTGGGCCCCGTTTGGGAAGGCTGCTCTGTACATGGTCTTCCCCGTTACCGGGGGTTTTCAGATATTTACATATATAACTATGTATATCGGGATGTCAGAGGGAAGGAGGCCACCACGTCCCACGGGATTTTCCAAAACAGAGTTACTGACACTTAAAATCCTGCCTCCTTGGTTCACCAAAGGGGGGGGGGTCACTCCCTCCATGGGATGGGAGCAGGGCAAGGAACAGACTCCACAGCCAGGCAAACCTGTACGGAGCTCCAGGCACACGCGCTGTCTGGGTGTGCGCAGCCGCGTTCATTCACAGAAGGTGCGCGGTGGGTAAACCACCTCGCTGTGACGCTAGAGGATGCTGGTCTTCGGGGGGGGGGGAGCTTACCACATTGGCTTTTCCAGGACTTGTCAAACGTTCCAAAGTTTTTGTGCCACCTGTGCTCTCTCTCCCGTCCTTTGGGTGAAGATACTTCATTGCAACGACGTTGGGGGGGGGGGTGGCTGCACAGGGACGTGCCAGCGGAGCTCCCGTCTGCTGGACCGTGGACAGGCCTCCGTCCAGGCGCTGGGCAGGCGGCGTGAGCGGCCCCCCGACAGCAGACAGGCCTGCGCCCCACCCCCATGATTTTCCAAGGCTCCTGATGCCGAAAATATACCAATAATGCTTTGTTCCCACTCTTTCACCTGTTCTTTTTGGCAGAGGAAGGACCGGAGCCTGACTCTTTAGTACTTTATATTGTCAGACACCCTATGGTTTGGTAAACTGACATCCAGAGGCCGTGATTCTGGCTGCTGCGGTGGGCTGGCCGTGGGGCTGAGCATCCTTGAAAAAAAAGTCCAGGGGTCCCGGACTGTCCACGCCCCCCGCCGCCCCCGAGAGGACATTCGTTCGGGGAGCAGCAACCCCCGTCCCTTAGGGCTTGTTTGGAACATGCGGCTCTCCTGACTCTCAGCGGCAAACAGGAGGCACAGGGATCCCAGGGAGGTGGCCGCACGGCGCTCTGGCGGCGGCCTCCGCTTCCCATCTTTCTACGCTCCCTTTCCTCCCTCCCCGGAGTCCCTCCATTCCACACCTACAGACACACTAGCCAACATGTGCTCGCCGAATGCCTATTTCCACAGACACACAACATAAATAATCCCCGGTGCAGAGAGCAGGGACTATATTAATATCACAAAATATATTAGTTTCTCTTGCCCCGTCTCTGCTGAGGTCATGAAACAAAACAAAACAAACCAAACCAACCCGCCCCAGCCCACACGAAAACAAAATGCTCTTTGGACCCAGGAGAAGCGAAAAGTGGCTCAGAATAATATCACGAAAACACCTGCGCTGAACCAAGACACAACCTGCGACATGAGGCACCTGATGGAAACACGTAAGGCGCCACCCAAGCCAGAGCTTGCCCAGACCCGCGAGGCAGCAAGATGACGTCTCTGGGACACACTTGGGGATTCTTAGGCATAGTGTGAGGTCATTCCTGTCTGCTTAGTTTTGTGGCTTACTCTTCTGGCCTCTCAGATGTCACATCCTGCCTCAGTGACCCTGAGCAGAGAAGAAAGCTGGGCCTGCCTGGGGCCGGGAAGCCCTGACAGCACCTGCACCCTCTTCCTCAAAGGGGACCAGTCCGGCCTTCCCAGACTCCCAGCACGTATGCGGAGTGGGGGGCACGAGGGGAGGCCCCCTGCGCTCCCTGAGCCGCGGGGCTGCAGTGGTGCCCTCGGAGCCAGGCCTCAGCCCCCGAGGGGGTGCATCTCTCTCGGGATGGGGCAGCCCCTGCAGGCCTCGCCTGCTGGGGGAGGGCCTCATGGAGAGGCCATGTGGGGTTTCCAGGGGCTCTGTGTGCCTCACCGGTGGTGGGAGGAGGCGAGGGTGAGCTACACGCACAGGAGAGACCGTGTACGTACGTGTGCGGCAGGCAGGGAGGGAGGGAGGACCTGCCCCTGTTTATCTGATGGTGGGTAACCTGGGGACGGCGGCCCGGGGAGGCCGCCCCGGGAGGCGCTGAGCTCTCTGCCGCGAGACGGTGCCCGGGCCCAGGCAGCTCCCCTTCGGCCCATGGGGGAGAAGGCTCACGTTAAAAAACACAATCGTGTCAAAACTAAAACTAGCTACAGAAGAGGCAAAAGGTTGGCTCAGAAATTCTGGGCGGAGATGTGTGGCGCCCCAAGTCGGTGGGCAGGGTAACCCTTAAAGATGCAGCGGGTGTCACCTGCGGAGACACCACCTTCCCACACGGTGACCGAAGGAGCAGCGCCAGGACCAGCGGCAGCCAGAAGGGTCGGCACCACTGAGGCAGCTCTGTCCCTGCCCCAAGGGGCGCTTCCTAAGGGCTCCCTGGGAGCAGTGACGGCCCCCCTGGGGACCCCCGAGGGCCCTTCAGGATGGTCCTGGGCTGGGCAGATACCTAGCGGGGGGCAGCTGCTGCCTATCCTCGGCACTGCGTAGGAAACTTCCCTGGCATTACAGAAAGAAAAAAAAAAAAGCAAACTGGAGAGAGAAAGAGCAAAGAGGTCTGTGGATTCTCTTTCTGTGTCGAACCGGTGCTGGGCGTGAGAGGGAAATGTCTCAGTGGGCACACAGATGCAGCACGAGAAACACACCACGAGTGAGGACAGTCCTCCATGCAAGCCGCCAGGCGGGTCGCGGCCTCAGATGTAAACGGGCTGCTCCTGGGCCGTCAGCAGTCTGTACATGGCAGCCGGCATCGTCTTCATGTGGATCTGGGGGCAGGAGGGCACGTCAGTGGGCCTGGGGCCGGGGTGGGGGGGGCGCGTGGGCGCTGAGCCCATGGCCCTGGGGGGGCACCGCTTCTAACCAACAGGGGGAGGCCCCCGGTTTGAAGACTTTCCCCACTGGCCACCACCAGGGACCTGACCCCGGTGGCCCCCAGGGACAGAGGAATCCACGGCTTCCTAAAATGTTTGGGGCGGCACAAGGTTTGCAGTGAAAACCAGAGGAGGCTGTTTTCCCAGTCGATGCAATATTCTCGCTCTCACCAGGGCGGAGTTTTTTTTATTTTATTTTATTTTTATTTATTTTTATTTTTTAGGGAGCAAACCCTTTCAAACCTAAGGAGAATGACAGCGGGTTGTGACTGCTCCTGCCTCCTCCATCCCCTCAGCTCAGCGGCCCAGGCAGCGGCCCTGGACCAGCCGTCCCGACCGCAGGAGCCCCTGCTGTCCGGGGAGCTGCCCCTGGAGGCCCCTCTGTGGATTCGATTCAATCTCAGACTTCCGCCTCCCCAGCACGTTAACTGGGAAAACGAGACGGAACTCTGGGCAGCCGCGGAGGGAAGCCGCGCAAAAGAATCCGAGTCCCAAGGAGAAGGAGAGCAAATGATGCCGGAGACACCGGCTCCTGTTCCCCGGAGCTGCCCTCGGACGCGGCTCCCACTGGGGTAAGCCTGGCGGTCGAGCAGTGTTTGGGACCAGACGGGACGCTCCCTGGAAGGCCTGTGCGGGGCTGCCCGAGCACGAGGTGGGGACCCCCCCACCCCAGCCCCGGCCCCGCTCCTACCTCCCCCACGGCATTGGAGAGGATGTGGACGATCTTCTCATGTGGGGTGGCCACCACGCTCTGCCCGTTGATTTCAATGATCCGATGTCCCACGCGGACGCCGCCTCTCTCGGCTATCCCCCCTCGCATGAGGCTGCAGATCTGTCAAAGCCAGAGGTCACGTCACCCCTCACGGCAGCAGCACATGGCGGGGAGAGGGGCGGGGACAGGGCTGTCCTTCCTGGACGCCCCCTCCCCGCCTTTTCATCTCTAAGAAGCTGCCGTGGTGACTCTGGGGACTTGAATCTCTTGGTTTCTTTTCACAACAAATGGGGCGTCGTGGGCCCACAGGGCCTCGCGCCCCGTCCTGTGCACTTTGCACGGGGTGCGGAGCTCATCCCCGGGTATCACGGCACAGAGTTCTGACAGCTGTCACCCCGGATGGGGCTTGGGAGAAAGAGCTGTTTGGGCCTGTCACCAGGCCGCCAGCGGTTTCAGACTCGCAGGATATTATTTCCCACATTCACCCGAGACTCAAACAGCCAACTGCATCGCCTTCGAAGCCTGCCTGCTTTTCCGGGTCACAGTGACACAGGCCAAAGTGGGGCCAGCTGGCCGGGACGCACTCCTTCCTACTTTCTCCACCCAGCAGCCCGTGTTCAAACTCACTCCTCACGGAAAGGACACTGTGGCTGGTGTCCGCCGTGGGACAGCCGGGCACTGTGCACGCGGAGGCTGTAGGCCGCTGGAAATGATCTCCCCAGGGGCGGAGGGCTCTGGGCTCAGCCTTGTAGGGCCTAGCCACCCCCTCCCCCCAAATATATTTTGAACTTACAAAGTTGACTTTTCCCTCCAGATCATGCACCTTTTCAGCCTGTGTTAGACAAGACCTGGGCGTCCTGTGACCATGCGCTGCCTGTTGTCAGAGTGCGTGGACTCTGTGGCCCTTTGGGTGCCCTGGGGTCACACTCCTTGGGTGCTTCCCACACTTCAGACAAAGCTGAGGGACCCGCTGCTGTTATACAACATCCCTTTGTTCACATCCGAACAACTTCTAAAATTATTTGAATATGAACAAAGTGAATAAGGAAAATCAGCAGATAAAAACAGACATGTGCCCCAAACTGTAGGGAGGAAGGCTGGCTCCCATCCTAGGAGGCGGCCGAGGCCACTGAGATACAAGGGAACAGATGAAGGGGCTGCATGTTTCCACTCCAGCTGGGAGCCTCCAGGATGCCTCTATACCTTGAAACATATGTGAGATAACATTTGAACAACCTACAACTCTTAATGGACACTGATGGGGTAAAAGAATAGGGTTCTTCAGTCCAGAAAGATGAAGGAGACAGAGGGAAGGCACATGCAAAATCAAAAAGTCAAGGTCACAGACCTGAGACCCGGACTGTCATCAAAGCCCAGACTCACTGTGGTGGGTCCAGAACAAGGCAAACCAGGACAAAGAGGGAGTGAGTGGTCCTAAATATGGAATTTCTGTTTGGGACGAAGAAAAGGTTCTGGAAAGAAGAGCTAGTGGTGATGATGGTTCGCCAGTCTGTGAAGGTACTCAATGCCACCGAACTGCATGCCTAAGAATGGTTTAGATGGTAAATTTAATGCTGTGCGTGTTTTACCACAATGAAGAAAAAGAGGAAGTATGGTTTCAAGGCAGATATCCAAGGGATGAAAATCCTCTTTATCTCTAACGTGCTATTTCAGGTTAAAAAGGCAAGGTAGAGACCCTTTGTGCATCAGAGCCCTGGGGCCGGGGCTGCCACCTGGGCCGTGCCCTGGAATCATAGGGGAGCCCCCCACCCCTGTCCTCAGAGCTGCACAGCCCAGGGGGCAGACAGGTGGAGACAGGATGGCAGTCCGCCCAGCCTGGGGCCAGAGGGGGACGAAGCCCTACCAGGGGGCACATCCCAGACTACCTCAAGTTGGCAGCTGGGAGGGCCATGTGCACTGTCACCGAGACTCCGGGCCCAGGCTGCCTGAAGCACCTTCTCCTCTGGGGGACAGGCACGGAATTCTCCGCCCGGAGGGCATGTGCCCATGGGGGAAGCAGAGCCGGCCTTCACCACTCACCCCTCCCCTCGCTGGCGTCTTTCGGGGGCCTGCCTGGCTCTAACAAAGTTTAAGAACACACACGGGACTTCTAGAAGAACGGGTGGAGCCGTACTTACGATTCCATTCTGGACGCTGAAACCCAGCTGGTAGCGAAGGTCCGGTCTCCGGATCAGCACGGTGGTCACTGGAGGACACCTCACGATGTTCAGCTTCACCCGGGGCTGGTTCTTCAGGCCCTGAAACGGGAATGGAGCACGGTAGACATGGCCAGCAGCGGGGGGGGGGGGGGGGGGGCAGCAGAGATCAAAGCACAGAGGAGGAGCCCCCAGGAGTCTGCTGTGGTTGCGGGGGCTCGCGAAGCAGCCCCTCACGCAGGCCAATGCGGCCCGAGCAGGGACGGTCCACTGCTGGACTTTACCTCCCAGGCTTTACCTGGGTAAAGGGGAGGCTTTACCACCCCTCACATCTGTGGCTGGTGTGTGCTGAGAGCGGGTCAGCACGGTCAGGTGGGGGGGACAGCCAGTGGGGAAGCTGCGGCATGATGACCAGCCGGCCACCTCCATGTCGCACCCCACCGTCACCATCCATCAGAACCCATCCCGGAGATCAAACCAGCCGAACCACCTGTCACTGAGCACCGACCCTTGCCCCCCGCAGGAGCCACCTCCCTCAAATCTCCTTGGCAAACTGCGATGGTAACTATGCCCATTTTACAAAAGGCAAAACTGAGGCTCAGAGATACTAGCAACTCACCCGTGTTCACCGGCAGTGGGGTCCAACCCCACCTCTGTTCTGTTTCCAAATCCAATTCGCCTGCACCACCATCCCCCAGACAGACGACGGGAGGGTGTGTGTCATTCTTGATGACGAGGGTTTGCTCAACCAAGAAGCCAGGGTGAGGATCAGAAGGATGAATCTGTGCCACGGAATCTGGGACTCCGGCCTGGCATGAGGGCCCTGGTTTCAGCTGACTTTCCTGCCCGCCGGGAGTCCAGGGCTCCTGCCCTCTGACGTCCCCACTGCCTTGGACGGACGCACGGCACTGTCCTCTCCATGTGCGAGCTCTGGCAGGGCCTGGTTTAATTTCCCACCTGTGGCACCTCTGCCCCTCTCCTGGGTGCTCGGAGCTGCTCTGGGTTCCGCACGACTGAGCCTCTGGGGGCCGCAGTTTGGCTTACAAGGACTTGGTACGCACCTGCTGGCAGCCTCGCCAGCCGCCCTCTCTGGTCTCTGCAACGTCTCCAGGAAACTTCTCTGGTTCACGAGTGACGATGTCACAGTGGAACAGCTCTCCCCAGGCAGAGTCCACTGTCTGCACCCACCGTGTGGCCACGGGGCTCGGTGCAGGGACCCTGCTGCTCACAGGGCCTGTGCTCAAGCTGCGTGTCTGCCTCGGCAGTAGGGGGTCCTCGATGCTCTGCCCCAGCCTCCATCCACCGCAGGCTCCTTGTGGCCCCAACAAGTGGAGGGTGACACCCTGGGGTCCCTTCCAGTTCTAGTTTCGACTTTACTACTTCCTATGCTTTTCCCGTCCTTAGCGTATTTGCCGACAATACCACCTCTTCACTTTTATGCTTAAAATTCACCCATTTCTACAATGAAAAACAGGCTTCTTTTGGGAGGTGGTGCTCAGATATTAATGCACACGTCTGACCCCTGAACAATGCAGGGGTCAGGGCGCCAACCCCCGGGTGTAGTAGAAAATTCACATATCTAGACGTATCTGGTAACAGCCCACTGCGATCGGAAGCCTCACTGATAGCATTAACGGTTAGCATAGATTTAGTGTATGGATTCTATACTGGGTTCTTACAGGAAAGTCAGCAAGAGGGAACAAAAGGTTACTAGGAAAATCACAGGGAAGAGAAGAAATGTGTAGGTTCTGTGCTTTCTTGAAAAACACCTGTGAAAGGGCCCCTGGGTGGCTCAGTGGTTGAGCATCTGCCTTGGGCTCAGGGCATGATCCCAGGGTCCTGAGATCGAGTCCCGCATGGGGCTCCCCATAGGGAGCCTGCTTTTCCCTCTGCCTGTATCTCTGCCTCTCTCTCTCTCTGTCTCTCATGAATAAATAAATAAAATCTCTTTTTTTTTTTAGGTAAGAAAACCCCGCCTGTGATAAATGAGCCCATGCGACTCATATTTCTCTCTCCCTTGAGGGGCTCCTCCTTCTCAGGCACTGGATTCATGAGTACTGGCCACTCACAATGTGCCACGGTGTGTGTCAGGCGCTGGGGAGGGGGCTGCAGGCACACTCGGGGCAACCCCAACCTCCATCCCTCCATGGTCACCCGGAGGCAAACAAAGAGGGAAGTATGCCCAAGAAACAAGCAAGCCTCAGACAGAGCCACCAGCTTTGAATGTTTACACCTATTAACCACTGGGTCAGGTAGGTACGTTTGTGAGTTATGGGGAAGCCTTCAGAGCACCCTGAAAAGCCAGAGAACAACTCTGTTTTCTCAACTACCTAAAAAAAGTTCACATGGCTCTGGCGGGTTCCTTTTTGAGTGTGTGTGTGTGTGTGTGTATTGATTTAAGAGGCCTGATTTGTCCCTCAGTGAAGGAATGTCTGGATTGGGGAAATGTGCTGCAGGATGAGGCTTAAAGACATGGCCATTTGGAACAGCCCGACCTTGCACTTGCTCTGCCCTTCCTCATCAGCGCTTCGAGCTGGGTCCCATTATGCTGGATTTCTGAGCTGCCATTTTATAGGAGATGACAATTAAGTAAGCGGTCATTCTGTCCCCAGGACAGCAGCAGAATGGTGTAGCAAATTAAGAAATACAGAGGGAGGGGAGGGGAGGGAAGCCGGGAGAAGCCAGAATGGTCTCTATAGTAACAGGGAAGCCAGACCGTGATGATCCTGTGGAAGGAAGGGGAAGCAGTGCTCTAGTTTAGAAAAGAAAAAAAAAATCAGAAGGGCAGGACCATGGAGGCAATGAGCAGGCCAACTGCTCACATGCTTTGCCTACCAGTACTTGTGCCTGAGGAATTATGACAAGAGAAATAAGCTCTAGGAAAGAAAGCAATTAAAATGATTCAGTACCTGTAAGTATTCTAGAAATGTATTCTATTTACACAGTTTACGCCCTCATTTTTCAAGGTGCATTGGAAGATTGGTGACATCATCACCTGGGAGCTTGTGGACAAAGACTCCCACAGAGGACCTGTGGCATCTGCAGGTCAATGGCCACAGGAGGTGTTTGTTTTTTCTTTTCTTCTTCTTCTTTTTTTTTTTTTTTAAAGACAGAATGTGAGCATGAGCGGGGAGGAGCAGAGGGAGACTCCCCATGAGCAGGGAGCCAGATGTGGGGCTCGATCCCAGGACCCCAGGATTATGACCTGAGCCAAAGGCAAACGCTTCACTGACTGAGCCACTCAGGCACCCAGCCCCAGGTATTTCAAATCAAAGTTTTTGAAGCAGCGATTTATCAGGATGAGAGGTATTTGCTAAATTCATTGCAAGGGGCACCGGCACAGCACTGAAATATGTGATGCTACCCAGAAGCCCCGAGGACGCCCAGCACATTCCCTGGCACTGGCCCAGAGGTGGGGCGGTGTGAGTATCTGCTGGGGGTGGGGGCGGGAGGCAAAAGAGAGGTATGTTGTTCAGGGAATTTTAAAACGATATTACAACCCACTGAGAGTCTTCACCTGGTGCTGGCACTTCTGGCTGAAATCCGTGGTCAAATTCTCCCAGCCAGGGCAGGGCGGGCCAGTCACATGGCTCCCAGGGCACCTCGGACGCTGGGCTGTGTCCTAGGTGGGGCTGCCGGCTCCGTCCTCTGCTGAGGGCGGCCACGGAGGCCGTTGTTCTTGCTCTCCATCTTCAGCAGTCATATCTCTTTCATCACCACATGGCCTTTTAATTCTCTGATTCCACACAGACTCCATTTAGAGACATCAAAGATCAGTTCCCGGCACTAACAAATTTGTTTCTCCTTAAGAAATTGCTTAGATGGTGCTCTGCTCACAGAGCAAGCTGTGTGTCCACCCTGATGCATGGCCCAACAGAGAGAAGATGAGTCCCCGAGTGGCCCTGGGCCTGGCACTGCCATGTGCTCTCAGCCTCCCACATCTGGTCCGCCTCCTTGGACCTGGATGCGCTTGTCTTCTGGAGAAACCCAAGCAGGTCATCTGCGCCCCTGGGGTCTCTGATGGCTCATCTGTAAACCAGGGGCCCATGAGGGATGGGGCTGACTGTTGTGAGAGGGGAGGGAGGTGACTGAGGTGGTCTAGAGCTGCCTAGCAGGTGCATGTTGAGCATGGGCATGAGGCCTCTGGAAGCCTTTTTGGGCTCCTCTTCTCCAAACCTTTCTGGCCCGAGATCTGCTCCCCACATGACCTCACTGACCTCCTGCTCTCGGCTCTCTGGATGGATCTCTCTCCCCCACCCCCTTCCATGCTCCCAAGGTCACCTTTCTCAGCCTCAGCACTTGGGATGGTTCTACGCTGTGGGGCTGGGCTGCTCCCTGCAGGATGTCTGGCAGCCTCCTCCCATGAGATGCTGGAGCACCCCTCCTCTCTGGCTGTCTCCACCTAAACCATCTCCAGACGTTGCCAAGCATCTCCTGGGGAAGGGGGTGCGAGATTCCTCGGCTGAGCAGCATGGCCTCAGGGGCTGACCACATACCCGAGTGACATCAGGGTGGCCGAGTGACCTGGCTCCGCTGCTGACAGCTGTGTGACCTTGAACCATCACATCACCTTTCAGTGCCTCAGTTTCATTACTTGTACAGCAGACACAACAATAGTACCTCCCCTCAGAAGGCTGTCAGGAGCAAACATGCACATTCTCAGAATGGTGCCAGGGGTACGGCACTCAGCAGCTGTGAGCTGCCCTTCTAAGCGTCCCGTCTCCCCAGAGGGATCAGGCTCCTCCTGAGTGCAGACTGTATGTAACGTGTGTCTGGTCCCCACAGCCCCTCAGGGATTCTTTGGCACACACAGCATTCCATAAGTGACCTGCTCACTAGAATGAATGGGCATCTGAGAACCCTGGCCAATGTGAGCACATGGCCAAATGAGGATGGGATGGTCCTGTGTCCCCACTCTCAGCCCCCAACCCCCAGCCTCTCAGCATTATCACCAGATCAGCCTTCCCTGGCTGGGCTCCGAGCTGTCTCTGGCACCTGCAAAGCCAGTGCACTGCCCATCAGTTCGGAAGATGAGTCCCTGTGTGGTCCTGGGCCTGGCACAGAAGGCCACCTTCCTCTGTTTTATCTGTTCACCTATGTCTTACTCCTCTTTCCAAGCCCACCTTAAAAATCAGGTAAAATTCTCCTCCATGCTTATAGCACTTCACCTCTATGTTGCCTCTTAGGGTTCACTGAACCCTTTTATCTTATTTTTAAAAAATATTTTATTTATTTGAGAGAGAGAGACTGAGTGAGTGAGCATGAGCAGGGGGAGGGGCAGAGGGAGAAGCAGACTCCCCACCGAGCAGGGAGCCCAATGCGGGGCTCGATCCCAGGACCTTGGGATCATGACCTGAGCCGATGGCAGATGCTTCACCCACTGAGCCACCCAGGCCCCAACATGGAACCCCTTTAATTATGAATCATCTTCCTGACATTCTGGCTTCACCATAGTTCAGCTCAGCCTAACAGAGGCCCAACACATGCCTGAATGAATATGAATGTTCAAAGTGGATTCTTCGATCTTTTTTTTTAAGTAACCTCTATACCTGATGTGGGGTTTGAACTCACAACCCCAAGATCAGGAGTCACAACTGACTCTCCCAACTGAGCCTCTAGGTACTTTAATCTTTAATGTCTATTAAGAAAGGGTAGAAATTATTTCAGTGTAAGATGTAACAATAAATTAAATGAAGCCAAAGAGGACTGTTTTTTCTCTGGGTAAGATAATCTTTTGAGGAATCAGAATATATCTGTTTCATTAAAAACGAAGAGGCACCCAGCCCTGCATCCTCCACACTCACTTTTACTACCCCCCACCCCTTGAACTGCTCAGCCACAGATGTCAGCTTTTGTGACTTTCCTGAGTTTGGGATAACTATTATATGAATCCATTCATTCCCTGTGCCCCCTACACACACACACACACACACACACACACACACACACACACACACACAGCTACGTTCTAGCTCACAGGCCTTCAGGAAACCCCAGGGGATGAAAGTGAGTCATGGAACCTGTTTTCCTGTGGGGTCATGGTGTGTGGCACGGAGCTGGGGTCGACAGATCCTGTGGTGAAGGAGCAATGCTTCTACTGGCCATGCAGTCAGAAAGTCCGAATGTGCTCGACAAACTACACACGGGTGCTTTGTTTCTAAGAAGAAAATCTAATTTCTTCCTCACAGATATTCACATTTTAGTCTCACGTGAGGAGCTATTCTCAGCCTTACACAAGAATGTCCGTTCAGGTGGAACGAGAATTAATTATGCTCAGGTGTGAGAGGAAGCATGCAGCCTGTACCAGAAGATTCCCCCTTTCGCACGGCACCTGGCTCGTGTGGACTGCATTACGCACGTTCTGGGGAGGACGTGCTCCCTTGGATCACAGCCTCAGATGCTGCCAAGGAAACCGTGCTCTCAGACTGGAAGCATTTCCACTATTTGTGTAACAGGAATGGCCAAGCACCTCGAGTACATCTAGCTGACTGTAGGTGACTGTCTGGATTACTGAGCAGCAGGAAATTTGATGAGGCTGAGTCTAGGCTTAGGAAAGAGTGCTGCGATTGATTAGTGATGCCTGCAAAAGGCACAGTATAGAGAGTGGTGTTATATGCGCCAAATATACTACTGTCTGTGATCTAGAGATGATACCTGGGAGGAGTCTGTCTTAGTAATTTGGGGTTCAGAGCCTGAGTGCAAGCCCATGCCTTTTGTATCCATGTCCTCCTCAGCCCGACACCTGGTGCATGTTCCTAATTTGAATGACTGAAAAGCAGTCATGTGTCATCCATCTCAGGTCAACACCATTAGTCACCTTTTCCCACTTTGCAGGTACCTTAATGATGCTCTGGCAGGTGGACAGAGGCAAGCCCACCAGGCTGGTGCCATTTATGGACATGATCTGGTCCCCGATATTCAGCTTCCCTGATTTCTCAGCAGGGCCCCCATGCATCATGTTGGCTATGATCACGGTTGGCAGGATGGAACCCCAGCCAGACTCCACGATCACCACACCTAGGATCTCTCCTTTCTGCTTCTCTATAAATACCTGAAAGGAAAAGACAAAGCCAAAAACCCGAATCAGCATCCTCCCAGAGTAGCAACACAAATCGAAGCTTTCCCCCACGTCCTGTCCCACCTAAAGAAGAAAGGCATTGCCTTGACGGCTCTGACCCAGACCAGTTGCTGTCTTCTCTCGATTCCATGGCATTTGGTAAGAAATGATGTAACAATAGGTCCATAGGGTTTCTTATAATTCTTGTTTCACATAAGCAATCAAGCCTTGGGTGTATGAACACAAAGGGTGTGGGGTGCCTTTTTGTATAGTCCCCAGGGAGCAGGGAGAGAGGCTGAGTGGGTGGGGCTTCGCGGGTGCGTTAAGGTTTCTGGAAATAGCTTTTGGATTCTATGCACAGGCTGCCCTACTGCACAGCACTTCACAAATTCTCTCCAACATTTAAGATTCTGGAGTTAAAAATAAACAAATAGATGTTACAGAAACATTTCTTTGCAGGGAGTAAGCTGAAGAAAAATGAAAAAAAAAAAAAAAAAGGATGCTAAGGTTAGTGCAACCAAAAAGGTTGGAAGTGCAAGTAGCAAGACCACGTTCTAGATGGGCTTACTTCTGTGTGGCCTTCCTCGGCAGGGCAGAGAAGACAGAAGTCAGTTTTGGATACTGGCAGCGTGGGAAGGTTTGCAGGGACACCACCAAGGGGCAGGACACCTTTTGAAAGCCTCTGACAAAGAGTGTGTATATGTATTTATTTATTCATATTCACCAATACACGTACACTCAAACACACACCGTGGTGGCGGCTGCTGGGGCCTGACACGGCCCCTCACAGGCTGGTGTCCCTTCTCTCACAGCCAGCCACTCCGCTGGGGAGCTGCCCAGTGGGAGACACTCCCCATTATGGGTGGTGGAATCATGTTCCCCTTGAAATTCATACGTTGGAGGCCAAACTCTCAGGACCTCAGGATGGGACTTTGTTTGGATACAGAGTCTTTACAGAGGCAGTCAAAGTAAAGTGAGGTCATTATGGTGGGCCACCACTCAGGTGGCCAGGTGTCCTCACAGGAAGGGGGGGTTTGGCTGCAGACACACGTGCAGAGGGAAGCCCATGAGAAGACACAGGGAGAAGGCCGTTCTCTCCCAGCCAGGGTAAGGGCCCAGAATACACCCTTCCCCCCACAGCCCTCCGAAGGAACCGACTCCCCAGTCTGCACGACTGTGCTAAGGTGGCCCGAGCACACCGCCCCTGCCCCGTGTAGGTGGTGTCCGTGACTGCCCGGCATGGGTTCGAAGGCCTACCGACTCCTCTGGCCCAAGGTGGGAACAGAGGACATTAGTGAGCCAAGAGATCACTTTCTGCTAAAGGTCCTTTTGTCTACTGGATAAAACCCAAGCCCCTGGTTCTGACCTGAGCCCTGTGTTGGCCTCTCTGCGCCCTCTCCTGCATCCCCAGTGCTCCACTGTGCACGGCTCCCCAGACAGTTCCTGAGCTTTCTGACCTTCAACGCTTCTGTTACTTTGGCCCAGCCCTCTTGAATCCTTCCTGCTTTCCGAAGACTACCTGGACCTCCAGACCACCTTAGATGGCTGCGTTCTCCTCCAAAGTTCTGTCTGAAGCCACAGGGCCACCCCTGGAGCAGCGCAGCACCTGTCACCCGAGCCCTGACACCTGCTCCACTCTGTCCTAACAGTTGTCTCTGACTAGTGCTCACGCCTGGCACTGTCACTTAACTTTTCTGTGCCCTTTCCTAGATAGTGGGCTTGGTAAGGGCGGGCTTTAGGTCCTGTTCACCTCTGGAAGCCACCCCAAACTTAGCTCACGGCTGCTGGGAGCAGAGGATGTTCCATCCTGGGGACAGCCCTCCACAGTGGTGTTTAATGACAGGCCCTTAGGAGAGGGGAGCCAGAGATGAGCCTGAAACCTCACCCAAGTCCTGCCACCTCCCCCCGTTCCCTAGCTGTTCCACCTTCCTTCCATGGTGGGGCTCCCCCGGAGCCTCTGCTGGGCTAGCTGAACTTGAGGTACATACATCTTTGCAGTTCTCCGACTTAGAGAAGTGGATCAGGTCATCGTTGTACATGTCTTGGGTGTTGAGCAGGTCACTATATTCCTTTTGGCTGAGATCTTCAGGATTGATCCCGTTGGCCCTGAGGAATTCCTGGTAGGCCACGCTGAATGCCTGCCCAATGGACTGTGCGATCAGCTGGGCCTGGACAGGAGTCGAAGAGGGAAGACAGAGGTCAACTGGGCAGCCCCGCTGGTGTGCTGCCTGGGTCTCGGCAGGACTGGGAGCCCCGGGCGTCAGCTAGGCCAGGGGGTCTAATCCCTGCCAGGGGCTGCTCTCGGAATTACTAAGGACATGTTATATTATGACAATAAGCACAAGGCAGCTACTGGCATTCAGCGGAGAGGAGTCAGAGACGCCCGTACACATGAGCACCCAGAGCAAACCATCAGAGTCCAGGACTCAACTTCAATTTATATAAAACACAAAGGCATTCATTACACGGCTCTACTTCACCTGGAACGTTTCTAGAGTATAGCTTCTGTGTCAAGTGAGAGAAGATAATGATTTGCTTTGTCCAGCACTTTACCAGAAGTAAGCTTCATGACTTTGGAAAATGATTACCATCAATGTTGTTCATGGTGTCTGGGTGGCCAGTAAATCACATCACCATCAGCCTACACATTTGCTGCACAGAGAGGCATACTGCATGAGTGTGTGGTCTACATATCTATTTTCTTTTCCTTTAAAAAAGATTTTTATTTATTCATGAAAGACACACAGAGAGAGATAGAGACACAGGCAGAGGGAGAAGCAGGCACCTTGTGGGTAGCCTGATGGGGGACTTGATCCCAGGACCCCAGAATCACGACCTGAGCCAAAGGCAGACGCTCAACCACTGAGCCACCCAGGTGTCCCTACTTATCTATTTTCTTACTGAGCCCTCAGTTCAAAATGTCAAATACAAGTGTTAATAATATTCAGCTAAATACTATGTTCTCACAACCAAACCTGTTCCTCGAGTCTGTATAAGCACCTGACAGCTCCACTATTCCTTCCAGAATGGCCGGGCCCAAGCATTTACATCCTGTAGTAAGGACAACTTTATTTTAGCTCTTTCCTTTTACTTCTCTTCTGTGTTACATTTATGGCCATATGTTAGCTTGTGAACAAATTTTGAAAAGGGGAGACTATATAATCTCCGAATTTTATTTCAGAGCAGGAACGGAGCATCATGAAACATCTGTTGTATAAAGTCGGTTTTGGGGCTTCCTTGAGAACCCTGATTGGGTCCAGCCCCACATCTTCCAGGTGAGGAGACTGAGCCCCAGAGACATAAAGGTACCTGCTTGAGGTCACACAGCTCACAGCGAGGCACACTGGTGGTTCTGTGGTTCTTTCTCCAGCACTGGGCTTTGCTAGCCTCTCCCTGCACTAACTCATCCACACTATGGGTGTGGCCAACCAGCAGCCACCTGGTACTTCTCACATGCCTGTGCTGTATTAAACACTATCCGAGGATGGTCACAGAGATCCCGACATCAAGCCTATGGCTGATGGAAGCCAGACAGTGTCACTGGCCCTCTTCCTAGGCTCCTGAGGCCATGTTTCAGAATCTAGAAATGTTTAGGATTTTAGAAAGGTAAAAGATGCATATATCATATATTGTCTAAAAAAAAAAAACCATTAGAACCTGGGGAAGTGCCCTATAGACAAACTAATATTCCTGCAAAAAAATGTGTAAGATTCATGGTAAGCTGGACAGATTCTGTAAATTGTCTCAAGGCAGTTCTGGGCAGGATTATCAGCCAACTGACCACAAAATCCCCTTTGCTTTTCAGAGTTTGTTTTTGTTTTTTTTTTTTTTTAGATTTATTTATTTGAGAGAGAGAGAGAGAGAGAGTGCGAGCATGAGCCAGGAGGGGCAGAGGGACAGGGAGAGAGAGAATCTCAGCAGCTCATGCTGAGCATAGAGCCCAGTGTGGGGTTTGATCCCACAATCTTGAGATCATGAGCTGAGCCAAAATCAAGAGTCGGCTACTTAGCCAATTGTGCCACTGGGGGCCCCTCCCAGAGCTCTTTAGACTTTGGAATTCTAGGTCTGTTTTATGGTCCCCATTGCACAGGCAGGAACAGCAGATGACAGTGAAGGTGTTCACTCCCTGGGAAGGGGGTGACTCTGGGTGCTGAAGGAGGCTAACTGATTCCAGAGCCCACCCCCGCACCATGTGGGATTGCCTCTCCGCAGGAAAACAATGAAAGCCTCCAGAGCCATGTTTTACACACACACACACACACACACACACACACACACACACACACGCACACACACAATGCTAACCTCCACGTCCCTTCCTTCCCTCGCCTTCACTGAGTTTGGCTGAAAGCAGCTAACAGACAGTGAAATCAGAACTTGCTGCATGGCTGTGCTTTACTTTTCCCACTTGGTGACTGGGGATGTCACCAGCCACCATGAAGACCCATCGCCCTGTGTCCTAAGACGCTGCAGGTGTGTGAGGGACATGGATGGAGACAGACGAGGAGCAGCGCGTATGCTGGGATCACAGAGGAGACACATGCTGGCGTCACTGATGGACACGCGTGAGCAAAATTAGCCCAGCAAGGGAGGCGCTGTCATGTCATGCAAGCTCAGTGGCCTCACAGCCTGTACATGGAAGCAGGATCCAGCTCCAGCTCCCCCGGCTCTGGAGCCAATGATCTTCTCTCGTTCTTTGCCTCAGAAGCATAGGGGTAAGAGTCCCAGGCCCACTCTCTCTTGTCCTAACTCAGGCTCCCCGTTCCTCCTTTCTGCCGGGGACTCTGAGGTTAGGCATCCCCTCCTTAAAAGCTGCAAGCCAGGTGCAGGTGGCAAAGGGTCACAGAGGTGTCTGCGTGCCCGGGGAGCGGAGCTAACTCCACCTTTTTTCATCAGCTTGCAGGACACAGGAGTCTTAAGCTTCTACATTTAATTTTCAAAGCTTCTTGAGAAACTTCTGAAACTAATTCTCTCCCCGTCTGCGAGGCTGGCCTCAAGTTTTAAAGCAAGAGCAGGGGAATGGCTGGGAGAGGCTCTCTGCCTACAAGCTCTCCACCTTCTCAGTGATCTGGTCCCCGGGGGCCTGTGTTCCAGAGAACCAGACCAGGAAAGGATGGTGCAAAAAGTGGGAGGATCTCCACATCCCTGTGGCTGCAGCTGTGACAGCTTGAATCCCTGGGGAAGAGCAGCTGGCCTCTGCCTCTTGACTTCCTGCAGGCAGGCAATTTACTGCAGCTAGGTGAACACTCCCCTGCAGAAAAACGGCCTCCTGTAAGGAGCCAAGGCACCCACGGGCAATTTCTCTTTAAGTAGCGAAGGGCTCTCTGCTCAATATGGGAAACAGAGCTCAGGGTACTGTGGCAGGATAGAAATCAGCATGATCAACAGCACAGACATGGCCCTCTTGTGAGGGAGGGCTCTGTGGCTCCAGACCTTCGTGGGGCTGTGGCCCTGGCCCTTGAGGGAGCTTCCAAGGCCTGCCCTGCTTTAGGGGAAGTTGGCCGCTGATACAGCTTGAAGCCTGGAGGCCTCTCTGGCCATTCCAGGGATGAATGGGAAAGAAGCCAAATAGAAGAACGGGCCCTGTCTCTGTTATAAATGAGTTTTCTCTGTTGACCACGTCACCTGGAAAGACGGGGTTTTGTGACAAGAGCAGCAGCTGGTCTTCATAAGGACAGGAAGTAGGCAGGTGGTGCTCCTGCCACTAGGAGGTAGGAGCAGGAATCCTAACTTTCCTGTGGTCTAGAGGGCAATCCTACATAACCAAGAATTGTCCTCCCCAAATGCCCTCATGCCCAGGTGAGATGAGCTCGGGCCCCATGGGTCTGGCCATCTGACCACATTCTGTCTACAGTTCTCTCCTTCTAAGCTATCCTCAAACTATACCAGCAGGCTCCTGCCTCAGTGCCTTTGCACTTGCTCTTTCCTCTCTCTCAGTTGATACAGGTCTCTCTTCAAGTATCATCTCCTCAGAGAAGACTGTTGATTACCCCATCTGAAATAGCTCCTATCCCAGTTTTATTTTTCCTTATAGAACTCCTCACTATCCCATTTTATATTAAGTATATTTACCTATTTTATTTTCTGTCTCCCTATAAGCTTCGTGATGAATACCTCATCTATCTATTCAGCCTTGTATCCCTAAAACAGTGCTTGACACATAGCAGGTGCTCAATAAATACTTGTTTCATGTATGACTGATGAGACTGATTCAGGTTCTGAGAAAAAGAAAGACTCTGGCCCACCCGGGGGTCAGCCAAGGCCACCCAGAGGGAGATGAGAGGAGGCACCCTTACATCCTCAGACTCAAAGACGTGGCAAATCATCTTATACTGCCTTTTTCCATCCTGGGATGGGTGGGAGGCTTCCACGTTCTCCTGGGAGTTGGAGCGGGGCATTCGCCTGCGCGCCATCAGGACGACGATGTTCCCGATGTCTGCTATATAGGAGATGGTCCTCAGAGGGTGGTCCATCATCGTCTCCTGGAGGGCACAAGGGAGAGGATGCTAAGTCCAGCACAGCAGCTAATGGCCCACAAGAGAGCCTGCCACCCTACAGCCCAGTCAAGTGCAGTCCACATGCGGGGGGCTCTGGGTTCCCCGCAAAGATTCAGGCCTGGGGGCAGCTCCCTCGACTGATGATAAATCAGAGCAGAAAGTGGTCTGTGGTACATGGGGGGAAAAATTCAGTCATTTTTACAGCGGGAGGATCTCTGGTGGAGAAGTTAAAAAAAAAAGATAAAAGGATGCCTGTGTGATGGCTGCATTTTGAGTGTGTGGATGCGTGATTTTAAACAAAATTTCTTAAAAGGCTAATCTGTTCCAGTTAATGAACCTTCTCATAAAAGCTTACAAGATTATTAGCAAACGAGATCCACGGTGTATTTGTTCTTTGATCTTTAAGGGAACAGTCCCAAGAGCAGCACCACCCCCTCTCCGGCAGCAAGTACTGCAGACATGACCTTCCAGCGTGTTCGGGAGCCAGCAGCTGAGTGAGGACAGCTGCTCTCGGGATGAGGGCACAGACGCTGAGCTGCCATGCTGGGCTGGGCACGTCACCCCCGGGGAAGGTGGCAGGCCGGCTAATACCTGTGTGTCGGCATTCAATACTTTGATTCTCTGGGTAGAAATGAAGAGATCCACCTCGGTCATTGGCTGAGATTCACCTTCAGGAGCCTGAGAAGAAAAATGCACCAAGGGAAGCTTAACACCTTGCCCCGACTCAAGTGCACGGGAGCAAGGTTAGCTCACACACAGAAGCACGGAGACACAGTCACCAGAACAGCCACGCTGACTCCAGATTTAGACTGCCAAAGCTGAGGGGACTCACGGACGAGAGTTAGCATCGCCAGGTTATAGGGAGAGGTGGAGTCCCCTCTGCTTCTCCACCTACAGAAGCAGTGGCTCATTACAGATTTGGCTCTACGAACAATGATCGTGAATGGCCCTTTCTGCAAGGCTTTCAGAGCCCAGCAGGTGGAGGAACAAGGGCAAATGATCCATACCGCAAGGCCTTGGAAAAGTTACTTAGAATCTGCTCCGGATCAAGTGACGGGGGGAGGGGCGGACATGACAATGTTTATAGCAGGTGCAAACAAAGTCATCTGGATGCAGTTCTGGTAAGAGGGTCTTCATGTTCACACACCACCACGGCAACACAGAAGCAGTCCTCACTCCTAAAGCCACCCCAAGCCGGAACCCGGAATGCCTCAATGCCCCCTGGATAGCCCATAAGCACCTAGAAGCTCCATAACCAAAAAAGCCCATCCGTCTGGTTCGTTTGGGGTTTAACTCCGCACAGGGTGGTTATTAGCGAGTTTTCTTTTTTGCATCCAGCAATCTGACAAAATCCACAAGTCAAACATGACTATAATTGAAAAGACCCAAGTCCTTGCCGCATTAATGCTCCTGAAAGGTGGGATTCTCACTACTGTGGGAATCATTTAGCATCTCCAATCTGCTCCCTGTTGTTTCTCTGATGTGAAATGACTCATGAGCAACAGAAAAACAGCCACTTTAGGCAACTCAGTTTTGAGAAACGTTGGCTAATGGGGCGGTTCAAAAAGAAATCTGAACGAAAACTTGCTGGATGCAGAAAACAAAAACACAAAATAATAAAAAGGCAAAACATAAATAAACGAAAAGAACAGGCATAACACCAAGCTGATGAAGTTGTTTGTACTGCACCTTCTTTCTGCTTTTGGCTAATTTCTGGGCCATCTGCTTAGCATGGAACAAACAGAGACAGGAGAACAGTTAGAAAAGAATTTGCAGAGACTCAAAGTCGAAAAGGGAATTGACAAACTAGTATCAATAGTGGCATAAAGCATTTCTGCGTGAGGAAGACTGGCTTTAAAAAATCCTACTCTATAGACAATTTCCTCACTCAAAATTTAGTAGGTGGCAAGGGGACGTAGGAAGAAGGAAATGTAGTGAGGTGCTTCGTATACTCAACTGCAATCGATGCTTTCAAAGAACCAACTTGGTTCTGTTGATTTTCTTTACTGTACGCCTGTTTGCTATTCCGTTGATTTCATTATACATCTTAATTTCCTTCTACTTTCTTTGGGTTGAATTTGCTGATTTTTCCCCCCTAGCTTCCGGAGATGAAAATTTAAATTGCAAATATTTAAACTTTTTAAAATAAATAAACTGATGTATTTATTTAAAGCCGTGAATCTCCCTCTAAGCACTGTGTTAGCTGTATCTGACAAATTTTGATATGTTGAGATTTAATTATCACTTCAAAACATTTTCTAATTTCCAGTGATTTCTCCTTCAAACTTTGGATTATTTAGGATTGTGCTATTAATTTCAATACATTGGGGGATTTCCTAGTAATCTTTTTTTCCTGATTTCTGAATTAATTGCACTGTGGTCAGAGAAGATACCCTGATTCCAGACCTTTGAATTGTGCTGAGCCTTAGCCCTATGGGATAGAACATGACCAACTGTGGTGAATGTCTGGTGGACTTCAAAAGATGCATTCTTCAGTTGCTGCGAATAGTATTTTATCAGCTGTTGACAAGGTCAATTAGGTTGGTTAAGGGCACTGGTCAAATCTATGTACTTACTGATTTTTTTCTTGCCTGCTTGTTCTAAAATTTACTAAGAGGGCTGTGTTAAAATCTCCAACTGTTACTGCGGATTTTAGTTCTGTCAATCTTTTATTTATTTATTTTATATCTATGTTATAAGGTACATATGTATTTAAGGTACTTATGTCTTCCTGTTGATCTTTTAATTTTTCTTCATCTTTAGTAATAATTCTTGCCTTAAATATTAATATGGCCTAGTCCTAACCTGAAATAGATGTAATATTCCTTTTGCTCATAAGTAGAAGCTAACAGTGTTGATTAAAACAAGAGAGAGAGAGACTGCAGCCAGATTGTCTAAAACTGAATCCTCACTCTGCTATCTACTAGTTGTGTGACTTGGAGCCAGCCACTTACTGTCTCTGTGCCTCAATTTCCTCATCTGTAAAATGAGGATAAACACCGTATCTACCTCATAGGGCTATTCTGAGGATAAAATAAATACATGCAAAGCTCTTAGAACAGTGCCTGGTGCATTATAAGCACTATATTTGTGTTTGTTGTTATAGGACTATAATTCACCTATGTCAGAATACAATTCTTGGCTTTTGGTAAGGCTTTCTAGGCACACACAGATCTTGAACAAATAACAGTAAATCAATGGCCAAACCATGAACCCTGTGTGTGTGGGTGGATGGAAGATCATCTGCTCTCTCACACTACTTGGTACTCACCTGTGGAAAAGCCCTTTTGCTCCCAGCAGCACACCTCTATTTCATTAATGAGTCAAATGTGTTGTCTGTCCTAACTCATTGTGGAGAAACTGGATGAGTCAGAGATCCAAACACCAAGTACCTAATCTCTGGGAAACTAGGGCAGCCTTGCTCCGCAGAGCCACCCCGCAGCTCTTCCTGGTGGTCATGAACTCATGGTGAACAGTCTGCCCTGGAAAAAGTCAGATGGCAGGAAGTGTACAGAGTGTCCTAACTGCTGCATGTGATGGTGGAAATGTGTCTGCGTCCAAAGAGTGACCTGGTGCCAATGCTATGCCACACCACATAGATTCCTGTGTGGGATTCAAGAGTCCTGCTGGGGGCTGTTCTCATCTGCACCAGCTATAATCCTCATGATGAATGACTGCTGCGAGATCCTAATGTGTGTGTGTGTGTGTGTGTGTGTGTGTGTGTTTTCTACCACTGCCCCTGAAATTATCTTCCAGGAATATAAGAATTTCTATTATTTTTGATACCAAAACCTAATAGCTATTAATCAAAATTCTTCACTCTAAGGAACAGTGATCTGAAAGGGTCCTGTCAAAGGAAAATAAGTCCACTACAATGGAATAACTAAATTTTTTTTTTCTGGAATGGGTGATGAGGAAAGAGAATCCAAAGGGCAATCTGCATTTCATAAAGTAATTTTTATGAAGTGAAAAGTATTTTACCCACTTAAAGTAATAGCATCTTTTCAACCACACAGGATATTCAGGGTGCCCTGAAATAAATTATAATTTAAAATTTACACATGACATCGGGAAATTGCAGTAGCGGAGGAGCCAAAGAGAACCATACGTCTAGCATGTGTCATAAAGCAGGGAATGACATCATCCGTTTAAGTCCTCTCGTTTCATGGGATCGATTACGGCTTGTCTCCCCAGCAGGCTGTGGTGTAAAGGACACAGACTGTGGCACTTGTCCACCCACTCACTACACAATATGTCCTGAACATTCCCTGTTAAGACTCTCTAGGTTACTCATGCTGGGGAAACTCCTGATGGCTCTAGCTTTTCCTTTCCCCGGTTGACATTAGCTGAGCACTTGCTATGTGCCAGTATCCTTCCAAGCAGTTCACGTGTATAGCACTGTGAAAGCTTACAGTAACCCTGTGAGGTAGGCACTACAGTATTCTCGTTTTGCAGAAGTGGAAACTGAGGCACAGAGAGACAAATCAACTTGCTCAAGCTACTGAAGAGAAAGAATAGAGATTCAAACCCTGGATATCTCACTCCAAACCACTGGTTGCGCAATGTAGGCAAGTTTCTTATCTATAAGGTTCTCAGTTAGTCTGTAAATAGAATTAATAATACCTACCTCACAGGATTCCCCAGCCCCTCCACTCTGAGGAGTCAATGAGATCATGTATGTGCAGGACCTGCTGTAAGTGTTAATAACCTCTTTATTAATCACAGACTTCTCCGAGTCAGATGGGAAATCATGTGGCTTACACAAAGCTTCAATGACAGAGATTTTAATTCTAGAATTAAGTCCTAATTTTTTGACATTTCAAGAAAGCCTTTCCATGAAAGAAGACTCTGATTTTTTGAGACAAGCTAGTAAAGACAAATATGAGAATGTTTGATAATGGATGCTCCTTACAAAAATGCATAGACCAAAAAACATCCAACACCATTTGTGAGCTAATCACACGAGCTTCACAAATGTAGAAAGAATGGAGACACATATGCCACACTCCATGTGGACATGAAGCTGGTTCTGTGGCTCAGGTAGGGCTCAGTAGGTGAGCCCATCTTCTGGCCAAAGAGCAGAAAATGCAGTGGGCATGAGGGTGGAATGAAGCATGGAGGTGCGGTGGAGAGAAAGGAAGACAAGGGATTTAGCTGCCCTGGCTTCAGGTTTGGTACTCCAGGTAGGGTGAAGGCATAGTTCCTCTACTGTAGGAGGAGTGGGGCATCTCTACCTACAGTGTGTAGGTACTGAGACCACATAGGGCAGAAGTTCCTCCCAAAACGTGTTCCAGAGAATCTTAGCAGCAAGACTTTAACAGGCATCACACAGTGATCATGTATTCCGTGTTCAAATAATGATGGGAGTTTCTGGCCAAAGTGAATTGGATCTCTTTAGTACAGGACTCTCAAAACCTTTAATAGGAAAACCTATATGCCAAATATCCAAAAAAGAGATATATTTTGCAGTATTTCTTGAGTTAATATGCCAATACAATGTCATCAGCAGGAAGCACTAGCTTGACCAGGATGCCCCAGGGTGTGGTGGGAGAAAAGATATCATATCCCATAAGGCTTGCATGGTCTACCCTTCCCTAAATTATAATGCATACCAGAACTTCTTGGAGGGCTTATGAAAACACAGGTTCCTGGGCCCTCACCCCACCATGAGTTTCTGACTGGGGTGGGCCTGAGAATCTGCATTTCTAGCAAGTTCCCAGGTGGTGCTGATGCCACCAGTGAAGGGGTCTCATTCTGAGAACCACCTCTTTGATGCATTCTTTAGTTGAATGAGGGGCTTCCTAAAAGGACATTATTTCTTCTCAGAAATGATGGACAACAAAGGCAGAAAGGGTACATTAGGGAGGGTCCAAAAATGGAAAAAAAAAACTTAAGAAAAATGGCAGATGTTTCCTAATTCTGCTATTGCATTTAGATCCACCTTGTTATATTTTGGTAGATGGAGAAAACTTTAAATTTCTGATTCCTCAACCTGCCTTTTGCTATTGTTAAACTCTCTTCTTGGTTTCCTTTTAGACTGAATGCTTCTCAAGGTCAAGGACTGGGTCTTGGGTAGCATTTATCTCCTGAGACGCCTATCACAAGGGTCTGCAGAGGAACACTTTGCTTTCTGAGCTAAATTCTTTTATTCTCCTCTCATGTTATGTACAAAATTTCTGGTCAAACCACAACTCCAAATTCTCTCTCCATTTGCAAATAAGTCTACAAATCCTTTAAGTTAAGAAAATATGAATTCTTCAGACTCCAAGTGTAAGTCCAATAAGCACCATAACCGACCAACAGAAGAAAAATCAGATATGATTTTGAAACCCAAGCTTCAGGTCTGGTGCTTGCTGGGAGATAGAGCTGCACAAACAGCCACGGCCACGCGGGACCCCCGGCGAGAGGGGCCGCTCACCTGCATCCGTCCCCTAGGTCAACTGAACAGTGTCGGCAGAGGAGAGAACAGGGGTAAGACAGGGATCCCCATGGGGGAGAGAGGAAGCAGGAGGAATTCAAACAGGGGGAGGACACCCTTCTTTCCGTCTTTGTTCAGATGAGAGCACCAGGGCGGAAATTACTAATCAGTCTGGGCTGAGGATACTGCTAAACGGATTTCCAAGTAAATCCATAAAGCTTTTTCTGCTTTCCTTCCTTCCTGGACAGACACTGTGAAATCTGTAGCTTCCTTCCTCTCTGTGTCTTTATAGAGGTGGCCTAGAATAACTCATTCCTGAAAGGCCAGCCTCTCTTAGGAGAAAGCCTGGCATCACCTCCCTCAGAGAGAGGTTGTCTTCCAGGTAAGTGCAAGCACCACATGCTCCCAGGAGACCATCCCGGCTGATGGGGGGTGGTGGTGTGTGTAAATGCCCCAGGCCCCCTGGGGCCCTCTTCAGGAGGTGAAATGTCGGTGCACATCCCGACACGGTAACACTTTAGGGGGTGCGGAAATACACGGTGGATCTGGACACAGTCTCCACCTAGAATTTGAATATGCGCCAGGCTGGGTGTAAAGTCAAGCAAGCTGACGGGCATTTAAATGGATGTAAAAGGAACAGGAGGCAGGAAATACTTAATGACAGGCAGCAGTTCTTCAGATGCACAGAAGCACATTGCAAAATGATAGTTATAAATGAAACGCAACCGTTTAACTTTACCACTCTGTAATGAATTCCTCACACTACCATAATTTGCTGTAAAAATAAATATAAGTTTTCCAGATGCCTACTCTGCTCTAGGCAGGTCTAAAATGGATTTATAATCAGACAGCCTCATCTTGCTGGTTCTGATCAACAAAAGCATCTAATGTTTTGTTGTTGTTGTTCAGATCAACTGTGGAACTTTCAGAGACCAATCCTTTGATGCTTCAAAGTGAACCTTCTGGTTTCTTATCAGGGAAGCTGGACTTGAAGATGAGAAAACTGTGCTCTCAGACCTCACCGTGGAACTCGGAAGCTGTCATTCCCAGCATGCTTGGTCCTGGGTGCCCAGCATGCTTGACACTGGGTGCCACAGCCTACTCTGTGCTGCTTCACGTTCCGGGGATGCACCTGCTCCCTCCTTCGAGGTCACGTGGTGCCATAAACATGCCCAAAGGCAGTGGGAAGACAAACTATCTGTGTGCAAGTAAAGGGTTACCACTCAGGAGGTCCATAAACAAAGTGCCCCGAACGAAATCCAAACCTGAACGTGTTTGAAACTCTGACGAACGGAAGCAGAGAGAACTCATCTTCCAGCCATGCAGTGTTCTGTCTTGGGGATCTTCAGTGCTCCTGTGGGGGTGGACTACTGCTTTGTTCTGGGGGATTCAACTCAATGGACTCTGGCAGTGCCTCTTGACAGGGGCAGAGGGATGCTCTAGCATTCTGTGGGAGTTAAATCTGCATCCTGTGCCTCATCCTGGACATTACAGGGTGCCAAGCATCCCTGGCCCTGGTCCACTAATGCCATTAAAAATACCCCCAGATACCATGGCACCCCAAAGTGCCCCCGCTTGTTCCTAAAGCCCCTTCCTGAGGGGGTCCCTGTCTATCAGAAAACCACTGAGTGAGGCATGCCAGGTCCTTGCACTCCTGCTGACCCCAGGGGAAGTGAGCAGCACCATGAGCCTGTGTCCAGAGGTGAAGCTGCTTTGTGGTATTGCTGTCTTGGCATCCAAGTGGCCTGCAGCTGACGCTGGCCCCTCATGAGAGTACAAGCCCTGGACAACAGCCTGCAGAGTCACAGGCAAATGTAAGGTCTCGATATAAATTCCCAACAGCCCGTGCAACAAATAATCTTTGTCCAGTGCCTTCCCCTTGGGTGCCCCTCTTAGATAAGACCCCCATGAAGCTTACCAAAACTTGCTCTTTTTGGTATGAATCAGCCATTTCAAACCCAGGAACCCCAAAGTATTCCACTCACAGACCCAAATAAAGGCATCGCCCCATGTCCTGCTGCCTGCATTTGCTTGGCCTTGACCCCCACCCTATGGCCCCCGCCCCCGAGGCGTGCTGGCTCCTTCCTTGAGAACCTGTGAGTAATAAACTTCCCTCTTTCAATTTCTCTCGTGCTCTTTTGCTCAACCATCTGGCACCCCAGGGCTCTGTTGAACAAATTAACTTAACAAAATCATAACATGCTATGTTTGGTAACTGTGGGACAGAAGGAGTCAAATTTATGTCCTTAAAGATTTTGTTTTCAAAAGTTATTTGCCTGAAAAGCACCTTCTTCTCACCTACAGATCTGCGTGTTGTTTTGAATGCAGCACCTAGGGCACCCTAAATTCAGGAAGATGCTGGGGAGATCCAGAGGTTTTCATGCCACCTCTTTACAATAAGGGGAGATAGTCAGAAGGAATTAGGTCAACGTTGGATGGGCAGCTTGACGAGAACCTGATATTCCATCAGTAACCTTAGAGAGTCTGAAAGACCCAGAAGGTACTCAGGTCAGTTTGATACACTGCCATGGAATCATCCTGCTGGGTGCCACGGGTCTCTGTGGGTAGGGGTGGGACTTCCTGCGAGAGAAGTGCACCTTCCCACTGTCAATCTAATGGGCATAGGCTAATTCTGGGAGAAGACATGACCACCGCAGTAGTGGGCCTTGTGGCAGCAAGGCCTGTGAGGCACAGACGGGGTTCGTGTGACCTGAATGAAGTGGTAGAGCGGATCCTAGATACACAGAAGACACGGGCAGGCCCCTGTCAGCAATCATGCCATTGGTCTGGCCTGTCACTGTCGTGATAGTAGCCACCCTAGAGGCAGTGGTGAACTGCTCTCTGGTTTATACCTCCTAAGTCCTGATATGCCAGCAAGAGTCACCGCATCAAATATTGCAGTGTGGGCTTGCTGTGCTACGACGGCTAAGGGAAGAACAAGTTCTGAGCTCAGGAGAGAAGTGCCTCTTCCAAGCTGGGAGAGGGGGTAAGAGCAGCCAGCAACTGGTGACCCTCAAAGCCATGGATGGAAGTTTGATGCAGAAGCAATGGCCAGAGACCCGGGGACCTGCGCCAGCACTGGACAGCAGGGACTGGGTCATTACGGTTAGGCCATCTTGCTTAAATCTCCAGTGGGTGAATAACATGGGGGAGTCAGCTGGGGCAGGAGGCCAGAAACTCCACCTCTGTGCATCACTCCCTGTTCCCATCAGCCCTGGGGTGCCCCACACTACTGGGCACCTTCCACCTCACACCTGTTCTTCCTGCCCAGATGCACCCTGCACATTCACTGGCTTGATCCGTCTCTCCCTGGTGCTGTGCAGCTCGAGGGTAAGGATCTCACCTTATAACTGGCTATTTTCTCTTCATCCCAAGACCCTGAACAGCCTTGCACATGTATGTGCTCCAGAAATCCTTTTTCCCAGGTTAAGGACCCTTAGTGACCATCTTGAACTTGTGCCTCTTCCTCCTTCCACACTGCCATACAACACCAGGGAGTACCTGGGGAATAAGTGCGCGTAAGACAATATGGAAAAGGAATGGGTCCTTGAGGAGGAATGCGATTATGACCAGCTGAAGCTGGATACATCCACATCTGGTGAGTCTTGACCTGTTCCACCTGTTGCTTGAAATACCTGGTTCTGGGTTTCAGTGGTGCTGCTCTGCCTGGGGCTCGGGTGGACTGGCCTTGTGGCCCTAGTAGGGCTGCCCAGTGCTTCTGGGTGCTGGTGGCACTTGAATGGCAGGTGATGTGTCCCTGTAGCCCTGTGTCTGTCCCTGATTCCAGGTGGTACTGGCATTGTGGTGGATATTCTAGAGCTCTGCATTTCACTAGGGTCAAACCAGTTCTGGCTAGCTCAAAGTAATTGTGAATGGTTTACACCAGGCAAAAGTAGTTCTCGGATCAAACAGGCTTGCTCCTTTTAAATCTTGATAAAACAGATTCCAAACAGTTACAACCGGCTCAAACCAGTTTAAGGTGCATTAGCCTTATACTGACTCATTCTGGTTAGATTTGATCCAATAGTTCCTTGTGCCTGGAACAAACCAGTTTGATCTAGCTTGTGCAGGATCAACTAGTTCAAAAGTATGAGACTGAGATGGCATCATGCGGTACCTAGAATGTTCACGTCACTCATCACCATATCCGTGGAAATACAGGGGTAAAGCTCTCCCACTAGAGATGTGATGCTCAGAATGACATCCTTCCTCATCATATCAGCTTTCCAAAGTTTATGTTCACATGTGCTATTTCTTAAGACTGGCTATTAAGAACACCCCAAATATGCAGTTTGATACATACGGACTCTGCACACTTTTTTTCTGTTTGGAACTGTTGACAGGTGCATCATGCCAGTCCCACACTCCCCTAAACTTGGCACTAGATGCATGAGGTGTGGGGAGACCACTGTGAATGGCTCAGGCCCCGGCATCCATCCCTTGCACCCCCTCACCTTGATCCTGCTCACGGCTTCCTGGGCCTGCATCATGCGCACGTTTTTGGAGGGAGTTTTGTCTGACAGCAGCTGGGTGGAGCCAAGGTAATTGGCAGCAAAAATGATCCCATCGATCAAGTCCTCGGGGTCACAGGGTCCGGGAACTGTAACACACAGAGCCACAGCGGTGAGTGAAGCCACCCTGGGGTGTGCCTAACATGGTCCTGACGCGCTGCGCCCTCCCCGCTGTTCGGCACCAGCATAGGTGGCCCGGTGCCCAAGACCCTGCCAGGCTCAGGCTTCTCTCCTTCTGTGTCTGCCTCACTCACCCCTTGCTTTCAAAGGGAAGAAACATTTTCTTCTTAATTCACTTCACCCAGGCCACTGACTGTGAGAAATGATATGTTTATTTAAATATGAAACATAAAATGAGTGACAAAGGATGTTGTTTCTCCTGTTAGACTGTGAGCTCTTTGGGGCAAAGTCCACGTCATGTTCGTCTCGGGCGCTCGTGTCTAATCAGTGTCTGTTGCCTGGCGGGTATCAAATAAATGTGTGGCCAAATGGCTAGGTGACCAGGGAGGCTGCTTTATCAGGAATCCTCATTGTATAACATTTCTTTCACCTGCCACCATCCACATTTTATCCGTAATTCGGGAAAACAAACTATAATTCAGAAAAATGGGTATTTGCTTCAGAATGTCCAGATTCCCGTAACGACCTTTGACCCCAATTCTGTGCGGCAGATGACATTACACCAAAGCCGGAGTCTCTGGCTGCCAACCTCGCTGACTTACAGGCTCTTGTGTCCCCGGCTGGCATCCACATACAGATCAATTCCAAGGAAAGTCTGAATTTTCTGTTCTCACTGACCGGCCTTTGAAATCAAACCTTAGCTTTAAAATATTTAAGGTGGGGGCAGTGGATTCTAACCATAATCATCTGTAAACCCTACCTGAAATTAAAACATGTCTGGGATTAATATATAACTTCATAACAAAGGCACTAAGGCTTCTCATTCTGCAATGAAAACCTATGTATTTTCTTTGGCTCAAATGCCGTATTTTGGGAGATTAAAATATACGTTTTAACCTACTGTTCAAACCTCAGGCTCTTAAATTAGATAGCTGGAAATGGAAACAATTTGCTTTTTCCTTTTGGAAAGCTAATCTAGAATGATTTTTATTTTTATCTACCAACATCGGGCTCATCTTAAGCTTAACCAGCTGTTTCCCGTGATAAGCTTCTTATCAGGGTAGCATCTTAAGATAATCTGATCATTTCTCTAAAGCCACGGGGGTGGTCGAAACAAAGAAATTAACAGTGTTTTAGGAAAGTTCTTCACAAAGCATCTGTGTAGTAAATAAATAAGGAAACTTCTTATTTGCCTTATTCTAGATCTTTCTGAGAAAGGCTTCTGGACAAACAATGAGGGGTACACAGCCAATCTGCCTCCACTATGGGTCAGTAATTCACCTTCTCAACAGTCACACGCTTCCTGCCTGGAACTTTCCTAGATGTGAGAAGGATTCAGGGTATTTCCAACATACAGTTTTAGTTGTAAGGCAAGGAAGCGCTACTCCAACTAACATGGACAAGTTTGTACCCGCATTATACTTTGTAAAAAATAAAGATTATCAGTTTCCTATCATAAACGCCTGTGATGGGTTTACAGTGTTACTTAAACATAATTGCTTATGCCCAACCAGGCACTGAGAAAAAAGATCTCATCTGGGATAGTAACTTTTAAAAACCTTCCATTTATTTTGTAAAAATAATGACTATTAAAAGAAAAATAAGAATGAACTATATACTTCTCTACAGGACTTCCAATATCATATATTCATTTCTGAGCTAGCTCTATTCCTTGAAAAGGGTCTCTCTTCAACCGTAATAAGTGTGGATATGCAGATAGGTTTAAAATAAATCCAAATAATATTTAAAGGACTACATAAATGTCAACCAGTCAAGAGACAGAAATATTGGACCCAAATAAATTATACATTTGAGATGCAATCTTATGCCATTTATCCTTCAGGGAAATTGATTATCATCAAACGTCACTGCTGCTAGATCATATCTGGAGGAAAAAATCCTAAATTCATAATTTGATTTTAGTGTATTTTTAAAAAGTTCTAAGTCAAAAAACTACAGGTTTCATTTTGGCCTTTTAGAATGTGTTTCTCCTTTTAGTGAGGCCTCTGTGTTGCTCTGTGGGTGAACAAGCACACATGTGACATCGTCACACATGAATGCTGGGCCTGGTGGAAAGACTATGAAGAATGGAGTTTCCAAACTCCCGAAAACTCTGCCAGGAGTACTTGTGGAATTTTGGAACCTTGCAAAAATGGCACAAATAATTTACAGGTCACTCAAGAAAGAAATCTGAGTTAACTGAATGAAACCTATGAGCTTGGCATGAACTTCAGGACTGTGGTGTCAGGAAGGTCTATGGATCCATTCTTAGGTGGTAGGGACACACCAACTGTTCATTCACAGGATCTAAGGGCCAGACAGAGCCTCAAAGTGGTGTCTGGGTATTCTCGTGTTCCCAGAAAATCCTCTTTCAAGGGGAATGACAGTCTAACCTACCTGAAAAAGTATCTACCATCCACCCTGGTAGAGGATCACTGGCACCTCTAGCTAAAGAGTGCCTTTGTGTGGGTGAAAAATAGTCACTCCATTTGTGTGGCCTGATCTCAAGCTAGGGTGTCTCACTTGTGCCAAGTTCTGGCCCTGCTAGACCTCCTGACTGGGTACCTTTGAACAGTGAAAAACCTGCACAACTGTATGTGGCTGCCCTGCACAGAATACCATTTACCAGGAGAGCTGTGGAATCAAACTGCCAGCTCACAGTTTGGCTCTGAAACTTGCCAACTGTGTCATCTCAGGAAAGTTACTTGTCTTGCCTTGAGGAAGAATGCGTCAGTTCTCTCCTGTGTAACATGGGGGTAGTAAGCTCATTTCACAAGGCAGATGTGAGGATTCAGTTAGTTATTAAATGGAAAGTGTGTATCTGGCACAGAGTAAAAGCTTGATAAATGTTATTATGCTTAACTCATCTAAGCAAGAGATGGGAATTACTGGGAAAGTCTCTCCCTGCCCCCAAATTAAGAGGACCAAAACGTCTTCCTTAAAGTTCATTCCCACTTGAATGGTCCTTTGTGGGTGTAAGAGGTGTCATGGACTGGAGATAAGGAGTCTGGGTTCAGATATAATATGACCGTCTCTAAGCTGGGAATAGCCCTCAGCCTCCTTGCAAGCTCAGGTCCTCATGGGCAGCATCAGCAAAGGTGGCAGGAGGATCTCTGACAGGCTCACAGCTATTGCTCTTTTAGTCTAAGATTCTAAGACTGTCAAGACTGTGACTGAGTGACTATGTGGCCTTTCTTCCTCACTAGGGTCGTAGAGCCCCAGGGCTTCAAATACCCCAAATGCTAGGAGATTCATGCATGACTCAATACTCAATTACTTCCTTTTCAGCTCTTACCTTCAACGTAGGTGGGGAATGAAGCCAAGCTTTTTCTTGACTGTAATCAAGACAAAGAGGTTTCAAAAAGGGCAAAGCATGATAAAAAATGCATTAACACAAATTTATCCATGAAACACGAAAAGTAAATAGATCATCAGTAACAGATATGAACCAGGTGTCAACCATTTCTGGATACAGGAAGAAAAGTGTGAATAAACATACACATTTCTTAATAAAGGTTACCCAAAGCCCAGAACATTTATTCATATTTTAGATAATCTGAAAACCTTACATTCCACCACCAGAGAGATGTCCATCAGCTTAAAAAATATCCCACAAACAAAATCCATAATCAATACAAAACAATAATACAAAGGGTTCAATTTGTATTCTTAAGAATCTGGGTTTCTGAGTGAAACACTGCTGGATTAGTAAAAGCATCAACAATGTGATTATATGTTGAAATCAAGAATTCCCTTGGAGAATTTTATTTCCCTCGAGGTCTTTGGTCACCTCTCACTGTGCTATAAAAATGTTTGCCAGAGATTTCTTCTCCTCCGTTCACTCACCACTTACTGGTTTAAAAACTCCCTTATGTAAGTAATTGTTAATGTGGTATCCTAAAATAACAAAGAATACAATAAACAAAGGAGTGAACTGAAAACCGTGGAATTTCTTGTACTAAGTAACACCTCATGGCAAGGGTCTGTCTTCCAACAGCACTGTTGGAAGTGGGCATGATCGGCTAGAGACCTTCTAGAACATGACTGGATGGTGGTTTAAATGCTAGCTCTTAGGGGAACAATACTTACCATTTGGTTCCTTCCGTAAGTGAATGGCCTAGACATAACTCTGAGTGGTGTCAGAGTAGGGAATTCATTCCTACTTTAGCCAGTCATAGAATTTGTAGTGGGTATGTCCGGAGCAAGGTGATGTGAACACTGCAGGAGGGTGGAGAGCTAATGCCAAAGACAAGAGTCCTTCAAATGAGCAAAAAGGAAGGGTCTGCGTGGCCAAGGGTTATCCTCAGAAAGCTTACAGATTTTCATTGCTAAGAATCTAGTAGGTTATGTTGTCATTTAAGTATATATCTTTTAGGAAAAGGGTATCTAGTACAGCACAGCTGCTCAATAGGTTGACCTGGGTTGATGGCAAACTCTGGGGTGCCTGGCGGCTGGGAGAGTTAGGGCCTAAGAGAGGGTTGGAACATCACAGGAACAGTTCCATCTCACAATATTTTGTACAATGCTCTTCACTTGGAAGATGGGATAACAAAGGGAGAACCAATCACTTAATCCTTGCATAATATTCTAAAAATAGTACTGTTAACCATTATATATATATATATATATATATATATATATATATATATATATATATATAAACTGGAAGCAAAGACACCCCCATTTAAGAATCTACCTCAATTTAGGACAATGACAAGAATTCAACACTAATCACACAATATACCACGCTAGGCAACCTGTCCGTAAAGCTGCCAGAATGTGCTCGCTGGGATGCAATGGTTCCTTACACCAAGGATGGCGGGTTTCTTATTTCAGAATGGATTACCTTTAAGGAAATGAAAGACACAAGTCCACTGGGAATGAAAGGTCATTGGCTGCTAATGCGTTTATAGAAAAATGCAAAACTCAAGGCTAAGCTGCATGCCCAGGAGGAAACAGAACTCTAACTTCCATAGGTGCTTTACATTCGTTTTATTTTCCAAGACAGAAGACAGGCCCAGGTGAGTGCTGATGGCCAGGTCTGCCTAATTCTGGTTAAACACCAAACCAAACAAAATCTGTAACTTCATGGTGTGTGAATGGAAGCTAGTTTCTTCATCAAGATCGGAGGCTTTAAAATGATCATTCCTCAACCACTGATCTTCTTTATGCATCAAAGGGCCTGGGGAAGTGAGGGTTGTACTGTGTTTCATCAAGATGGGTCAGCCTCCAGGTACACCCAAGAAGCCAGTTCAGATTTTCTTGGGCTATTAGGATACTTTTCTGAATGCTGGTCTCAAAGACAGTCCCCAGATTTTAGCAGAAGCTACAAAATATTACTTTAGTCTATAGTTCTAAAAGCTGCTGTTTTTATTTAGAGCCACAACGGAGGGCATTTGGTACATTTACTTATTCTCTATTGATAAGTTCATGACTGGCTTTCTTTAGTCTCTGGGGTAGTAAGTTTTTTTAAAAAAAGAGTTTGAGGGATCCCTGGGTGGCGCAGCGGTTTGGCGCCTGCCTTTGGCCCAGGGCGCGATCCTGGAGACCCGGGATCGAATCCCATGTCGGGCTCCCGGTGCGTGGAGCCTGCTTCTCCCTCTGCCTGTGTCTCTGCCTCTCTCTCTCTCTCTCTCTGTGACTATCATGAATAAATAAATAAAAATTAAAAAAAAAAAAAAAAAGAGTTTGAGAAATGAAAGAATCTCTAATTATTGCACACAAAGAGGATTTTCATCATTATTTCTAAGGATATGCAGAAACATGTGCCAAGTCCTGTAGGAACTGAGAAACCAACAAATTTGCCTTGCTTATTATATCTGATGAATAATCAAATGCTGAATATTCAGATGTCTGATTAGCCCTTTGTTTTTTCACATGTGGACAGAGATGAACATCAGTTGATTCTCAACATTCAAGAATTAATAAAGCCACAGTCAAGAAGATGAAAGGCCAAAATCTTTGAGATTTTCTAGGAGGTCACACTAAAGCATGTGCAAGCGTGGAGGTCTGACAATTGGAATAAAGACAAGTTAGCTTGTCTATACAGGGTGTGGCCTGCAGGCACTTTATATCCCGAGGGGAACAGATCCTAGTATGAAAAGCTTGTTTCACACAGGAGCTCTGGTGTCAAGTCCTGGCCTTCCCACTTATGGGCCATGGACCTCATGTAAGTTACTGAACCTCTCTGCTTCCTCAACAAAAAAGGAACACAGTGATTCCTATCTTACAGAGAAGTATTTAAAGGATTAAATGAGATACTACCTGTGATTTGCTTGGACCACTGCCTAAACACTGTAAATGCTCAAGAAATGCTAACCCTCACTGCTGTTATTATCACTGTGGCCTTGCTTCTGCTCTTCTTGGTTTTGGTTCTCACCGATCCCTGTGCTCTGGATAAAGTATGAGGCAAAGCTGTGGGATCTGGGGTCAGCCGAGACAGCGACCTTGTTACTCCTGTTCCCATGACCTAGGGTCGGAGGACAAGACCAGAGAAGGACAAAGTATCTGTCAAATTTAAATTCCAATGTTGGTGTCACTTCAGGGAAGGACTCTGTATGTTTGTTTGGTTTAATATAAACAGATTATTAAAAAATATACTTTCCCCTGCATGAATACTCAATGGCAAATGTACGTGTATTCAATGATACTTTAAGGGTATGTTTTAATGAAGACTCCCTTCAGAAGTCATCTGCCACTCAGGGTAAAATGCAGATTGCTTTCTTCTGCTGCATTTGATGCAATACTATTACCAAAAGAAATGAGACAATTGTTGTTGTTACAAAGTTTACCTCTTTCACACACACCCTCAGCATTTATTAGGCAGCCTCTATATTTAGACTTAGCTGAACCCACATGTAGACTATGGCACATGCCACAATATGCCTGGCACTGGTTCATAAATATGTGGTGGGTGGCATTTGGCTGGGGGTAAAAGGACAGCAGTGTGGGAGAAGGCAATGGCTCCCCTGTGGGAAGAACACCTGTCCTCTTACAGCTCCAGAAACCTCAGCAGGAGCAAGCAGCATTTTCTCACTTAAATGTTCTCTGCTGGGGTTCAGTCTGGCCTCCATTAGTAGAGTGACCATATGACTTATTGTCCAAGAGGGACACTTCAGGGCTGCATTGTTTAGTAGTCCTTAGCCGTACATGACTATTTAATTAAAATGGAATAAAATGCAAAATTCAGTTCCTCAAGCCCACTAGCCACATTTCCAGATTGTGAGGCACGTGTGGCTGGTGACCACCATATAGGACAGCACAGAAGCAGAACATTTTCATCACTGCAGCTAAGTTCTCTGGGACAGCACTGCTTTAAAAGGGATGTTCTCTAAGTGTACTGTTTGCACAACAGGAGTGAACTGGAACCACCCCCAGTAAACCAGGAGAAGTGGTCGCCCTGGTGTCATGAAAGATATTTCACTTGGGCCTGAAATGAATGGATATTTAAGACACCAGCCCGTTTCCCAAAACACACGGCAACTTCATGTCAGAGGCTTGTAATGCCATGAGAAAGGATGTTGCCACACAGAGTTATTAATATTCAATTTCCAGCACTGTCCAGAATTTTCTGGAAAGACTGGAAATGCTCTTGTCATCTCCCCTGTCCAATACAACAGCCACTAGTTACATGTGGCTACTGAGCACCTGGACTGTGGCTCGTGTGCCTGAGGAGGTGAATTTCCATTATATGTATTAATCAAAGTAGACACCTGTGGCCAGTGGCTGTCAGATGGGACAGCGTGGCTTCAGTCATTGAACTCCATGCTCGAGAGGAAAAATTAGAATTTCTCTCCCCAGGTGGTGGTGGTGGTGGGGAGTATGGGGGATTTGAGTGGGAAGTGGAAGAAAGCTGCCGCCAGGAGAACAAAAAAACATAAGCAGGTGGCTTCTGAAACAAAACGGCACCCTACCTCTTTATTTGAGGAGGCCTCCGCGGGGTCGCTGGGGTGGAGGGGTGTGCTTGAAGACTCTGCACCCAGGGGGGAGGAGCTGCCAGGAGATGGAGACTGGAACACAGCAAGGGAAGGATACAGTGAGTGTCTGAGGGCTCATGAACAGGTGGCAGGGGTGGGAGCAGGAATGAGGTAGGGTGGAGGGGTAGGGGCAGGGGCAGGAGTAGGGCAGGCGCGAGAGGAGAAAGCCCAATACAACTGAACAAGACGCTTCTATGGTAAGAAAACTTCCTTGCAAGAGGAGCCACCAACAGCACAGGAAAGTCCTGGGTTTTTCAAGTTTTCTTTTAAATTCCCACCATGTTTTCAAAGGAATCCTTGGAAGCTCAGCTGTTCTTTTCCTCCTTAGGCCAAGATTTTAAATATAGCAAAAGCTGAGTATCAAACTTAAAGCCCTGAATGAATAAAGTGAAGGGGATCACACAGGTGTGTGGTTTGAAAATTTTTTCTCATTGACAAAGACTCTGGGTACTAACTGTCTTATAAAATCACCTGCCTGAGATGACCTGAATGGGAACGTAAAAATGGAAACAGGTATTTTCAGAGAGGTAGCTGGGATTGATGACCAGAAACCACACCACCTGTATTTCTCTAGTCTAGATTTCAAGTATTTTTCCTGATTTAATACACAGGCCACTGAAACTTCAGAGACATTCTAACATCCAAACAATCTGACCGTGGCTGCTCTTGAAACAGTTCAAAAGTCCCTTATTCAATGATATGTTTGAAGATAAGAGTGAGAGGAACACCCATCAGGTGTGTTCCCACCTCCGGAGGTGGCCCAGGCAGGCCTGGCTGCAAGAGAGCAGGAAGCCCCAGACCAAGCCCGACATGGCACGCGGGCCCTGTAAATACCCGCTGCTGAGTGGCCAAAGCAAGCGAGCAGGCAGAGGATGGGTGGGACTCAGCAGGACGCAGAAAACCCTACCAAGTTGCTACCCAAACATTTCTGGATGCTCCTGAAATCCTGAAGATGAAGGGCATCTTTAGGCGAGCCACAGGGATGCTTAAGCACTCTGTAGGGATGGTCCCGAGAGCAAGAGAGTGCGGTGAAGTCTGATGGAAGGCCCCAAACAACCTGCAGTAAGGATCTGTTCTCTGAGCAAGTGTGGTGATGTGAGGGGAGCTCCGTCCTGGGCAAAGGAAGAGTAACACTGGTAACTGATGAATCTGTTTTTCTTTTTTTTTTTTTAATAGAATTTATTTATTCATAAGAGACACACAGAGAGAGGCAGAGACACAGGCAGAGGGAGAAGCAGGCTCCTCGCAGGGAACCTGACAGAAGACTCAATCCTAGGACCCCCGGGATCACGACTCGAGCCGAAGGCAGATGCTCAACCGCTGAGCTACCCAGGTGCCCCCTGAATCTGTTTCTGAGGCCTTGCAGGTGGTCCTCGTGGGAAGGCTGAGGTAGAAACTTCAGCAGAGCACCTCTGCATGGAAAGGTAGGATGTTCCATGAAGTTAGTCGTGCTGAGTGGGGGTGGGGGCACATTAATATACAATGGGGCTTCAGTGAGCAGTATGTGAAATCATAAAACAATAAATCTTTTCAGAAAGTCCGAATTACACACGGGAAACAAAGTGCCAAATGGACTGAACGATGAGGTAGTGACATGCAGTTTTACTCACTTTAGATGTTGTATGGTCCCAACCTAATCCTGTTGGGCCTGGAATTGTTTTCCATGAACCCACAGATCTGATCCTGGGCAGGGAGGTGAGGACCAATGAGCTTCTTAATCATTCACATGCAGAAATTGGCCCCTCCACAGAAAAGCCAAGATGATGGGTGCAGGGGTAAGAGCAGATATAAAGGACTCCCCCCGCCCCCAAGCCCCACAGCCCCTGGATGCAACAAAACAGCCCTGCATGCCTTTATTATTTTAAAAAAGATTTTATTTTATTTAAGACCTTATTTATTCATGAGAGACACAGAGATAGGTAGACGGAGAAGCAGGCTACCTGTGGGGAACCCAATGCAAGACTCAATACCAGAACTCCAGGATCACGACCTGAGCCGAAGGCAGATGCTCAACCCTGAGCCACTCAGGTGCTCCCCAACCCCTTATGCCTTAAAAAAAAATCACACACACAATTTTTTATTTGGCACTCAACAGAGCTGGGGGATACTGGCTGAGTTAGCTTTGTTTGGACTACTCAAAATTAATTTAATGAAGTCCCATGAGATTTCAGTGCCTTTGAATTTTCCTAGTTTTTCAAATTTGAAGAGCTTCCTCAGATATTTTACATCTATCTTTCCCCAAGTAATTTTCTGTGTCAAAAAGATTTTAAGGGTCTGGTCCCAGGGAAGCTAGGACAGCTGTTTTTTTCTTTAATTGTTTGACTTGAGGGCCATGTAAAAAAAGGAAAGAAAAAAAAAAAACCTTCAAAAGTGTACCAAAGTTCCTATTTCCTTATCTGACCATTTTCTGTTGCAAATCTTCTAAAAATTGATTCTCTCCAACACTGCAAACATCAGCTCATCTCTCCAGATGATGTGAGAAGGCGGGTTATCCAGCCAGCATGGCATGATGTGGAAGAGGTAGGTCAGACCCCACAGTGAGGCTAAGTGAGCAGTGCTGGGTGCCCGCCAGGGAGCCTGGAGAAAAGAGATGCACACTGCCTTCATCCGGGGCCACGTGCCCTCAATGCTCTCTATGCTTTAGCATTCTGCATGCGCATGAAGCTCATTCATTTTTCCTTCTATTTGCATGTATAACTGATGACCAACATCTAGAGAGTTCTCCCACATTCTTTCTCACCTTCAGTGCTAACTTCGAAAACAGTGCAACTTGCTGGAGCTTTCTCAGACTCTATTCACAGTACTGTTCTACCCTGATGGCTTGTATTAGGTTTTGTAATGATCTGTTTACGTGTGTATCTCCCCTCCCCCTGGAACTCTTGGACAGGATCTCATCTTAATCAGCTTGGGATCCAAGTGCCTGGCAGTGGATCTTGCCAACAGTAGGCGCCCAGTAAATCTTTGCTGAATAAATGGTATCAGTGTCGTCTCTGGCTTTACCGTGTTTCCCAGACTGTGAAAGGCAGATCAACCACTGATCGCTTTCGTTAGTGTCTCGTGGTCAGTGGTAAGCCCTTTTCTGATCGCACACTCTATGTGTGCAATGTTCAATCTACATTTTGAATCAGAGAACAGGGTCTTTGCCTGTAAAGATCTAACCTGAGGGGATCCCTGGGTGGCGCAGCAGTTTGGCGCCTGCCTTTGGCCCAGGGCGCGATCCTGGAGACCCGGGATCGAATCCCACGTCAGGCTCCCAGTGCATGGAGCCTGCTTCTCCCTCTGCCTGTGTCTCTGCCTCTCTCTCTCTCTGTATGACTATCGTAAATAAATAAAAAAAAAATTAAAAAAAAAAAAGATCTAACCTGAGCTCCAGCAAAGCTCTTTGGAAGCTGAAAGCTGTCTCCACGTGAGAGGGGACCCTGTCTGGTGGAGGCCTACCACTCCCAACAACGTCAAGGTGGACAAACCTCTTCAGAGCAGACACCAAGCGCCTAAACAAAGTTCTTAGTATCGAATCCTCTCCAATGTCTGCTTTAATGGCCCTTTGTCCCTCTTCTCCAGCATCTGCTCTGCTATATTCTCAAAAGTGGAGAGAAAATCAGAAATTAGAGAACGCATCCTACCTTCAAAGAATGTACTGGAGGCCAAGTCTAACCAATACAATGATACAAACATTAAGTGATTACCATGTATTTCTCTGGCTGAGGTCCCATGCCTGCTGGATCACTGGCTGGATATTCAATTTTAAGCAAATGAGACTAAGGACAGGAAGCGAATGTACGCTTGGAAATTCCTCAGGTGACACACAGGGTGGCGAGAAGGAGGCATCTAAAATGTCCAAAGATGATGCAGTCATTAACCAGTCCCTGCTCTGGTTAATTACAGGAGGTCTTCTTAAGCTGCCTGTCCTCTGAAGACTGTGTTCTAGCAAATTCTCCACAACTATGGTCTATATTTTACTGCCTAAGCTCTGGGGCTCCACAGAGTAGAGTCCTGAGCTGTTAAGAAGTCAGCTCTTTAACGCCAGGACAAAAGATAGATCGTCCTGTTGTGAGGTGGGAGATAGCCTCAAGATGCCAAAGCATCCAGAGGGAAAGCCAATCACTCATTTTATTTTCAACTGAACCTCTCCTGGGGCAAATGCTGTACTGCTGGTGGTAGAGGTGAAGCAAACAGCTCAAAGGACTTTTAGGCCATACTTGCAGGGCAGAAAAGCATTCATTTATTCCTTTAACAGACATTTCAGTGACTACCTCTGCTCTTAATATTGGGCCAAGAAATAAAGAGGAAAGAGATGCTGTGGTCCTGTCCTATCTCCCCTTCCAGATGATGGGAATAGGCAGGCATGTGGACACAGGGCTATGGCAGGTGGCAGGGATATGCATCCATATGTGGGATGCAGGGGGGGAAGGAGTAGTTCTGCAGGAGGGAAGAGGTGTGTCAGTAATGCTCTGTGGGGAAGGTGATGCTTCCGCTGAACCCTGAAGACTGTAGTATTTATGGAGCAGGATGGGATGGAGAGAAGGAGGAAGGTTCTGTACACAGAGGCAGGGAGCTGGAGCAGCATAGCTCTGCCAGGAAGCAGGAGATGAGCTAGGGGGCAAGGACAAGGCACTGGAGCTGCACTTGATGACAAGCAGCCAGTGCCTAGTCTCTGCCCAGAAAGTGGGGTTTTCTTGGTGAGTCGTTGGCCTGTTGTCCCTCAGTGGAGAAGCTCTATCTGGGCACTCAGTAACAATTTCCTCAGCTGAAATGAAGATCTAAAGGATGGAGAGGATGAGTTATCACTTCCTCCTCTTCCCTTTCCTTAGTCCTTTCGCCCCTGACATCTGCATGAAGAGAAGATTCCATCCTGGAAAAGCTGACCAGAAGACAGTGAGAATACCCCAAATTAAAGCCAAATTACTGGCTCTTTCCAAATGAACAGTGTTGCTTTCAGAAAGGCCTAAGCAGTGATCTGGAGAGATGTACAGATATCTTGAAAAACTCCTGGAGAAATGCTGGCCAAAAGACATAAAAAGGGTAGTTCCACC